TCTATTCTTCCAGTTAACTTGTCATGAAATAAAATGCATTCATTGTATTTACTAATGTCAACTCATTGATGTGTTACAAAATGAGTAAATATAGGTTGTAAAAAAGGTTATTTAGACGGTGTTGTATATATTATCAAAATGAAGCATCTTTACAGCCTAGTCTTGGGCTAGAAATCATTACTCTGATTGAAAAAAGTAGACGAAATCAAGAGCATACAATAATACATGTCTAACATTTGAAAAAGATTACCAGAAGCCGTGAGATAAGGGAGTGGTAATTAATACCAATCATAATGTTGGCCACTAATTTATTTTGAGAGATAAAACTATTTGAAAAACCGAAGGAAACTAATCACCATCTGTCTGCTTGATAGATGAGGTGATTACTAACCGATATCCGTCTAAATTTCCACTGATATTCGTATTTCTCAGTTACGGTACTTGATTAATCATCTGCATGATTTGTGTATTTTAAAAAATATCCACTGATTATTCTTGACCTCTCCAAGTAAAGCAAATTAAATGAATTTATAAGATAGAAATAAAATAGCAAATCGGTTTTGTTTTACAAATGAAAGTATCACTCATGGTGTGTTCATAAACAGATCTTTCAATGTCTCTGAAGCACTTTGTATTCTATTCTAAAACTTAAAATAAAGTTGAAAAGTATGATTCAGCTATTATCTGCATTCATATTTTGTGGAACAATGAACATAAACTGAAATTCCCTGAAATATTTACTTTCTATTCTCATACTCATTCAACAATTGACAAGGTATCGCTTTTTCACTCACTATCATTATTGTATAATTATTGGGTGATGCCACATGACTCCTCATTCTAAAATGTTTAGAGTGATAAATAGTATTTTTCTAAGAAATCTTCGAATAATGAACTTTTTGATGAAGTTTTGTTCTCTGAGCTGGATGGTTTGGTCGTAGAGCTTTCATCGTCATTCTGAATGACATCATCAGCACAAACTTCGGGTCAACAAGAACCAATCAACATCGAGGTGTACGGAACAAGCTGTGAACCATATGTGGAGAAATTCAAACACTTCACTTCTACCCGAAGTTTGTGCTGATGATGTCGTTAAGAAGGATGATGAAAACTCTACAACCAAACCATCCAGCTCAGAGAACAAAACTCCATCAAAATCATCCACCTGAGTTACAAATCTTCTCCATCATCTCAACATCCTAACTTGATATTTACTCTTTTTTTGCTGTTTCTTTAAGAAATATTTTAACTATCATTCTGAAATGACGAAAATGAACAAAACTAGATCAGATATTTGTTATTATTATTATTATTACTGTTATCTTGGGAATTTTCATTCAAAGGAACAATTTTCTTTTTTTTAAAAAAAAAAAAGAAGAGAAGAATTAAACCAAATCAAAAATAAAGTATAATCAATAATAAGTAATTACAAAAAGATTAGAATGCGAATAGAAAAAATAACTTGAACAATAACAGTAACAAAAGAATATGTTATATTCCTTCCTATTTGCTTAATCCAAAAAGCCTTACCTCATTCTTTAAAATAATTATTTGATTTTATCCAATCAAAATAATTCAATACTTGTATTTTACATTCATACTATTTACCTGAATAGATAAGATCATTTATTTGGTTCTTTTCATAGTTTACCCATCTGTTCATTTATTGATTTCACTTTTCTCAAGGGTTAGTTATTCTTTTATTTTTTTTAAGGTGATAATATTTTTTTTGAGATATATATATATATTATGTGTTCGGGTAAACAATTCAATCTTTCCTATGGCTGACAATGAATACTGACAACAATCTTTTGTATAGATCAATTTAGATATCTACCTATCTCTATTTACTTATTTAAGTATTTGTTTACAGTAAACTTTTTTTTTCATTTTCTTCTTTTGGATGACACTTAAAATGATAAGGGTTTGATTTAAAGTTGATTTTATTTTTAAAAAAACTTTTGATGATAAGCAGAGATACGCACAGTATGCACATATGCCAATTAGAGACTGACCAGTTGCAGTGCTAAACACATCGATGGGAAGATCCAAACAAATAATACTAAGTGAATTCAAACTTTTGATGATACTTTTAAATTTCTCTATTTTCTGTTTGATCCATTCTATGGTACATGACATAAATAATTATGTTATTCAATATTTAAAGACATAATCAATTTCCTGTTTGATGCAAGTTTTATTTAGATTTGGGGATTTCAAATAGATTATTCAATATTATGCAACATTATCAGTTGTGATTTCTTTTCAAAATTCATATTTTTCTAGTAAAATAACTGACTAGCGATGTCCTACTTGATAGATTGGGGAAGGTAATTTAAAGGATATTTTCTTGTAGTTAATCTTACTTTTACACTTTCTAATGGACTAGTAATGTATATTCTGGCAAAGAATAGGTTACCTGAGCTTGGCACTTCAATGTGAATCTAAAAGTTCAGCTGCTTCTATGGCGACAATTATATTGAGTAAATTGCCAGGCAGCTGAACCAACAAGCAAGTGAGTATCTTTCAACTTAATTTCCAACGAAACAGACGAGGACATAAGTATATCTATCTTGGCATACCTGGTCATATGGTGGATTATTTTGAGTGACTTATTGTATACCTTCATCATTTTTCAATAGGGTTCCATTTCGTTCCTTATATATGGCAGAAGCTATTGGAATCTGAATCTATAACCCTCCTATTTTGTATGTTCAGAGGAAATTCGTGATACCTCTGTCCCCTCCTTGACCGGATATGACCTAACGAACGGTTTTATTATTTTTTCACATCCCATTTTTGTCCGTTGTTTTACACCTTCCTTTTATGGTCTACTTCTTACCACATCATTTTATTCATGTTTTGTGACTAGTATTTTAAAGTCAATTTATCCAAGTTTAACCTACCCCCCATGTTGACCTATTGACTAGAACTTTTATGATTCTTATCACTACTAGTACACCTGTCTTCTTACAATCAATTTGTACTCTTTACCTATTATATGTAGTTATGCTATCTATTTCATTGTAACCATTGACTTATAAACAGCCTGGATGGGCTAGATGGGTAAAATCATCTTTTATGATCGAATAAATTCTAAAAAGAAATTTTTTAAAGATTAAAATCTGACAAATTATATGGGAATAATGATTGCTGTCTCGGGAGTATTCAATCGTTGACTGGACTCAACTAAGTTTCCAACAATTCTTAATTACATTAATAAATGATTTCATATAATATTAAGTTAAATTCGTTTATTAAGTAATAAAATCTCTTAGTTCATCTGACAAATTGAACCTATTAAATCATTTGAAGAGAGACATGGGCATCCTATATATCGGATATTGTTTCGACAGCTACAGTTTTCTTGGACGATACATCTAAATGATTTTCTACTCGAGTTAGACATTTATCCAGTTATCATAATTTAATCAGTTGAAATATTGTGAATTATAAATAGATAAACTTCAGGTACTGATTCTTAATCCTTAGTGATTCATAAATATATTGTTATTACTTATTAAATATTATTCAAATTCTACTTTTTTATTGCATACAAGTAGAAACTGCATTTTTACTTTATCTAGGAATAAACGTTGAAATATTGAGATCCATATAATTGAGACGTTAATCATACATTTTATTTAAAGATTTATGTATACATCTATCTGGTATGAAATTAACTAGAAATAGTCAACAGGAAACTCTAGACCTAGGTTTCGTGCTACTTGAAACTCGACAGTAAGGTGTACCTGTAATCCTGAGGGAACTGATGCTCCCTGAAGGATTTGATCCCATGTCACTGAGAGAGACGTTACCACTGAGCTATCCGAGCCACGACTGACCTTCTGTAGGACTTAGATGTATTTTAAATTGATTGATCACTTGGTGATGATCAATCATTTCTAGAAGAATCATTTATTAACCAATTAATATTTGACATTGTTCTTTCTTCTGTCTCTTTAAATTTATTACAGACAGTCTAATAAAAGAATTAGATCAAAGTTTCCATTTTTTCGACCCTTAAAACAATAAGTGCATTTCCTTTTTTTAAAACGCTACACATTGGTAGATTGTTACTTATATGAGTTGGAAATTTCAGATTTACTTACTTAATAACGCCTGTTACTCTCAGTGGAGCATAGACCGTCGACCAGCATTCTCTTACCAACTCAGTCCCGGGCCTTCCTTTCTAGTCCTATCCAATTTTTGTCCATTCTTCTCATGTCTGTCTCCATTTCTCTGCATAATGTGTTCTTTGGTCTTCCTCTTCTCCTTTAGCCTTCAGGATTCGATGTGAGGGCTTGTCTTGTGATACAGTTGAGTGCTTTCCTCATTGTGTGTCCTATCCACTTCCAGCGCTTCCTCCTGATTTCTTCTTTCTTCAAATTTCAACCGAGTATAATTCAATTTGTTTTACTTATTCAAATACTTAGACTTGTTTTGAAATCAAAATTTTTAGATCGAATTAAAATCTATTTACACTAAACATTGTTACTATATTTCAATAGACTATATACTTTTATCTATGTTTCACTAAATTCTCATTGCCTAATGTCATTGATCAATATTGCGTAGTTTTCATAGAAACAGTTTTGTATTACATTTTACATTCAAAACCTTCATACCTAATGTTTATGATAAAGTTATGAATTAGTTAATTAGCTATAATATCCAATGGTATATACCAATAATAATTATTTATTATCATGGACATTTTATGCATACAAATGCATGTCTATTCTCATTTATAATAAGTTGTTAATAAATATATCATTCATTTAAATAAAGAAAGTGCAAAAACTTGCTATTAAAAGATTACTTTTGTGTTTTGAATCACTTTCTATGGTTTTATTAAATATTCGGTATAATAATCATTCATATCATTATTGTCACAGTTACTGTCGAATTAAAATATATCACTGATTTTATTGATTTTCTCTGATATAGTTTCTTTTATTTATTCATATAATATTTGATTTCATTGACCCTCTTTTTAGTTCGTGAATTACTTAGCAGTGGAGTTTGTCCAGATGTAGCCAACGAGGATGGATTAACAGCATTACATCAGGTAATCTATTTATCAGTTGAATATTATAAAAAGATTTGTCAACAATGTATTTCTTATTGATTAACAAATTACTGAGAGGATTATAATCCATAAATTGATTGTTTATCGACTAAACCAATTGAGATTTTATTCATCTAACAGTCTATTCCAATTAAGATTTATTACTACTTAGATAAAACGGTTTATAATTAAATCCTATCTACTGACTACTGTGCATTACATCATATTCCTGGTAATCGAAGTTGAAATGATTGTAATAAAGTGATGGGTCTATGCTTTATACTTTACTTTAGTAGTCTATATCAATGTGTTGCACTTATGAATATAAAATCATATCTTTGATATCTGTCAATAAATATGTCAAAACAGTAACCTGATTTCTGATAACACAAAATAATGTGTGAAATTCAATTAAATCATATTGATTAATCTCATCTTTCAGATTATGTACCATTCATTTTAAATTGCTGTGCGTTTTTCAATAAAGTGCACTAATCTACACATTTCTATCTTATTTCCGATCATTGAAATGAATCTTATTTGCATTTATTATAATTGATCAACTTAACTAGTACAACTCTTTCGTATATATATATATATATATATATATATATATATATATATATATAGAGAGAGAGAGAGAGAGTGGTAGTGGGGATAGGATGAATTGTAACCATCTAACCATTCTATTCGATCTTTTTTTAAAAAGTATTTTGCTAAAATGAAATTATAAATATTCAATTTCCTGAAATTATTTGTTATCAGTGGTGTGAACGTGGTACGACCCCGAATTATGTTAACTATTGTATAAATTGAGGAAGTACACTTAAGTACTGGAAAATTGGACCTGATTGTATTTCCTGTTTACTAAAATTAGAAGATAACTGGAAAAGTAAACACATATTCTAGTGTAGATACATACAGAAACACTTATAAATACTATTACCCAACGGTTATAGTGTGTACTATTTCCTCTGTGACTGTCACCGAATAATTCTGTGTGAAGCTATCTTAGATATTTATCATAATATTTGACTTTATTACCTTCATCTTTTTACGAACATAACTGAGAAAAATAACTCAGGGTTTAAATTGACTCCATTCTGGTTATGTTTTGCTTTAGTCATAAATCAAAATGTTTGCATATGATTACTTTTAACATAGTTTAGCTAAAAGTAATATTTTGAGTACTCTTGTATATGATATTTTTTGTTGTTATATAACCCTCTAGATCTGCAGTATTTTAAAGAGTAATTTTCATGTTTAGATGATATGGTCAGTAGTAGCTGAGAGGCAAGAAGTATGAGAAAATGAGAGTGTTACATCGTTTAGCTTGTTATCTATCACCTGACAAAATTGTTAGTCAAAATACCGATTTATAAAACCTTCGCCCTGTGCCAAACCAATGATGCGTTAACCGACACGAGGAGCCTAGAGTCAACTCTGAATTCCTATTGGTTCTTCTTATCTTGCTCTGCCTGTTGAGTCAATAACACAACCATAGCTTCTACTGTATGAATCACGTATCTCACACATACACAGTTTATATAAGAGCAAACTAGACCGCATCACACCATAAAATAGAAAGTAACAATTGTACAAGATCAAGCCAAAAGTGGTTGTGTGTCTGAGAGACTGTAACTAATAAATCAGGAATAAGTTAAGAATGATAAACCGTATCGCAATAGACAATAGGCCAAACGAAAGAATAAGAATATATATATAGCCTAGTTACTTAATAATTATCCAATAAGGCTATATGTAATGATAGTTCATAAATAATTCTTAACAGTTAACCATTCATTTATTCTTCGTTAGGATATAACACAGAGAAAAGGACAAAACAGAACCTAGTTATGCGCATGAAACATAATATTTATTTTCTGATAAGTTCAATAAATAAGTGAATTGAGGTCGTTAAAAAAAAGTTCCTCATATATCAATCCCTCTCCGTTTTAAAGTACTTTTCAAGTGTGTATCAATGAATATATTTTGTGTTTGTTTCCATTATCCAAATAATAATAAATATGAATATTTTGTTATTATTGAATTTGGTGCCAGTCAACTCGTCTTTTTTTGAATAAACAAATAGCTGATTTTCCTGTATCTAAGTCTAAATTTCAAAAAAGTATTTCCGCTTAGATCCCATACAAATCGTCTAAAAGTGTTTCATTGTGATTCAGAAAATGTAGATAGTTATCATGAAGATATATTTATCACAAGAGAGTAGTAATATTTAATAAACACAGAAATAATACACAGTATCCGCCCCCAAATGCTCTGGTACGGCCGAGAGTGGGGAAAGTCCGCTCCCCCTATCGAAATGCTCTCACATGGTCACGCGTATATAGCCTCTGACAGGGAAGTCCTACTCACTGCCTTCTCGTGGTATTACTGTCATTTACGAAATTGAGAAGACAAAAAGCGAATGTTCGGCACTTTAGCCGGGTTGGTGGACAAGGCGAGTCCACCTAGGGGAATTGGAAAACCCCGATTCCAAACCAATGGTGCACATGGACTCCAGGAAACTAAGGTAACGAATGGCGCATGAATCAATCACTGGTCGCCGGCTATCATGGGACTGCATCTCCTCACAATGCTCCACTGCCTTGTAGATCAGACCTGTAGGTCAAAGGCTCGGGGTGTGGCCCCTTAAAAAAACCACCTGCTTCGGTTTGGGCACCTGCGCAATATCACAACCCTCACACAAATCAAATGAGATTTGTGCGGCGCATATATATCCGGTGTCCCCTTCCACCAATATTGATGTGTTCAAATAAAATAATAAAATAAATTCCGTATTATCTAATCTATTGATTTTTGATTTAAAGTTTATAAAAAACTACGAAAAACACAGAATTTGACTATAAAAAAAGAGGTACATTGAAAACGGATAAATTTCTAAAATAAGACATACAATACATAAACTCAAAATGTATAAAATTATTTGTGGACAGTAAATATATGTAACAAATTATGATAATATTATGTATCGATTGAATAGGAAACAAGTAACATTTATATTTGTGTTATTATAGTTTTTAAAAAAAAATACAACATTCATTCGATAACTTACACAGAAAACAATGAAAGTTAAACAAGTTGAATGTAATGGCGGTATAGAGTGAGAAAAATTTGCTTTTCATAAGAAATAAGAAGGAGATATTTTAATTTTCTTTAAAAAGATCTTGATATTCAACATTCTATGTCATGTAAAAGAAGGACATTAAAACTTTCTTTTCAGCGACTAAACAGTATACTTGATTTTGTAAATAGTAATTAAGTTACAGTTATTTTTCGAAATCATGTTTGTCACACGTTTATTCATGATTGTTGTTATGACTACTAGAAAGTCCTGCTTCATTCAGATATAAGATTGTATATATTCAATAATATTCAATTCTATGGTAATATCTAGACAGTTACTTAATAGCTGAAAGCTTGAGTCAATTGAAGCTAGACCACCAAGGAAAACCTGGAGGCATTGGACGGCCATTTCGTCCTATTGTGGGACTCCTCAGCGTTGCGCATCCATGACCTCGCCTCGCGAGATTCGAACCCAGGATCTATCAGTCTTGCGCGCGAACGCTTAACCTCCAGAACCACTGATACGGCATCCAACGGTGTTATCGTCTAACTTCAACCAATCCACGAAGTTGAGCAACTGTTCACCAAATGTCTTCAGTTAGTTCCTATCTCACAACAGATGTGGTTTGAACTCCACTGGTCACTGCTTCTCCCTAGAACTCCTGGATTTACCTCTCGAAGTCAGTCACTAGTGAACAGATGATTATTATCATCAGAAGGGGTTTTGTGGAGTTAGACTTAAATACCATCGGATGCCAGCTCAATAGTCTATCGGTTAAGTGATCTGGCGCGAGACTGGTAGGTCCTGGGTTCGAATCTCGCGGAGCGAGATAGTGGTTGCGCACTGCTGAGGAGTCCCACAATGGGACGAACCGGCCATCCAGTGCTTCCAGGTATTCCCTGGTGGTCTAGCTTCAATTGACTCACGCTTTCAACTATGAAAAAATCTCCACAAAGCTCTTTCTGATAATAGTTATTTATTAAATTGTTTATCTCCTGATTTCCATAAGATGCCGGTATTTAAGGCTAATTATCTTCAAAGAGACATACTTTTAAGAAGAAGAAATAATACCATATTTTATTTTGATAACCAAAGAAACTTATTGTATTTCCCATTAAAAAAAACTAAAGACACTTTAGTGAAGGAGATTTTTTTAGAAATATCATTTACTATACCTGCACAATCATCTCAACATTAAGAACGGTCTATTCGAATAAAGAGTGGTATTGAATTATAAGTTACATGAGAATGTCAATAGCTGTAACGGCTAATGAAAATAATATTATAATACAAGTAGTTGATAGATCATAGATAACTGTTCATTTGATGAATGTTATGAACCGAATAACAGTAGTTTATAAATGATTATGGCAAAACTAGAATGTCATACCTATAACAGATTACTGAGTGTGAACGATAGGCAGAGAAGTAGAGACCACAGTAGGATTAGTGATTGAACATGTTGCATTTATACAAATAAATTAGTCTTCAATCGATCGGTTTCTAAACCTTCTCCTTTACGTAAGTTTAAAATGATACAACCTCCTTTTGATATTTTTAAACAATTCATTGTTTAATGCTTTTTATTTTTTGACGGTCTGCTATTTTATATTGTCAGTAAACATACGACTAAACAGCTTTATTAAATAATATCATTGGAAAAAAAATTCCCATTTCTGAATTAATTTTAATCCTAAAAAGATTAAGTTTATATCGTAATTATGACATTTGTACTAGTTGTCTATAGGCTAATGAAGTTTAATGAATTCGGAAGATTAGACAGAGTTTAGACAGTATCATAAACAGTTTTACCAGTTGCGTAATAACCAATCAAATGATTGTTCGATTCCAATCTAAATAGAAACATTTTAGTCTGGTAGGTAGTTTTATTCAAGTGATAAGTTTCGAAAAGGATAAAAGTCACTTTCTAAATACCACTTTTATCCCTTTATTTATTCAGAAATTTTACACAGTTTGCCATTCCTGAATGACGCATTATTATCCCTAATTCAATTGATCAATTTCTTACCACCACTACACGGGATATTATGAAAATAGTCATAAGAAAAGAAAATACTGTCACGAAATGTCTCTACTTAATTTTAATTTACCCGCCCTTTTTTAAAAATTTTTCGCTTGTCATTATTTTTACCGATTACTTCAAGATAATAGAATTTGATAAGAAAAACAAAATATAGTTTAAATTATTATTTCAACATTCAAAGAATTCCTTATTTTAAACAAATATCAATAGAACAATTGTTGAATGCGACTGATGTGAATATTGATCAAAGTCGATTGAAATCGTTGAAGAAACTAAATATGATATATAATTTCTTTTGTTTAATCAGACTGACTTAGTAACTCCTAAGATATTCTGAAAACAGAATATGGTTTTGGAAAATGTTTAAAGACACAGGAATTCAACTAATGTTTGCTATCAATAGGGTTTGCCTGATATATTTTGTCGTTATGGTTTAAATTTAAAAGAAATTGTAGACGATTATTCAGAGTAAATATTGGAGTGAACATTATTCAAAAAAATTCAAACAACCAATAAAAATGAATCAAACTTCACTCTATGGCATAAGCTTGTGGCTATCTGAACTCAGCACCTAAATAGTTAATGCGATGACGTTTGGAGCGAACGGTACTGGGCTCGAGTCCCGGAATGAACATCAACTCTGAGATGCAGGTACATTCAACTGACAGGTCTCGGACAGAATGAAACACGCTTCCTGGATTCCACTACAAGCCATTATCCATATCTGTTTATGATACGCGTGAGATAAGGCAATATTGAGGCACAGGATAAAGACTTGTTGAAAAAACACTGCAGTCCTAAACATCAGTGTGAAGATTCTGACAAATAATAGAAAGTGAAAATGATTCGTTTAAAACAGAATCTGCATTCAAATATCAATAATGCACCACAGTTAGATATCATAAATATTTAACAGTCCAACTGAAATGGAATTGATCTAATTATTCATGCAACTCTATCAAATTCTCGTTGGATTTATGATGGTTCTACAATTCAAGCACCTTTGTAATTAATCTTACCATCAAAATATAAGCACATAACTCTACGGTTTTGCATTATTACATAAGGTTAAATATATTCTATTATTAATTAGTTTGTTCATATTTCGAGCTTATTCTAATATGAAAAAAAAACAGTTATACAACAATGAAAGTTACGCATTAATAATTGGATTACGTTAAACGCATACATGCTTTAAGTACCAGTTAACAGTTAATTGTACAAACTAATACAGTTGAAAGAGTTTAAACTACTGTTTTAAATAAATAGGTTTTATGTTGACTTAAATGTTATCTTATATAAAACACTTTGTTGGGGGTGCGTAAAAGGTCACTGAATACGATGTATTTAGTTATCAGTATATATATATATATATATATATATACATATGATGAGGGTCGATATGGTTTCTGCTCCAATTATCTGAATAAGTATCACCTTCCGTTCATTTGTTTTTATGAAAAGTTTGCAAACTTTACAAAAATAAATAAAATAGATTTTCCAGTTATTTTATTAACTTTTATGTTCTTTCATTTTTTAAAAAAACTATTTTTTTTCCAGTGTTGTATTGATAATAATTTGGAAATGTGTCGGTTACTTCTTCGATATGGAGCAAATCCTAATTCTCGTGATACAGAACTATGGACTCCGTTACATGCGTCAGCTACATGTCATCATACAGAATTGTGTAAAATTCTAATTGATCAGTAAGTTATAGTAATATTTTGGTCTAATTTCTCTTATGATTTGAGTAATTTGTGAAGCGGAAAGGTTTTATGAAGTTAAGTTAAATCCTTTTGGTTAGATGCATTAAGCAAACCTTTGGTCGTAATTCAAGTGCAGGAAGAGATCGAGAGAACTAGCTTTTAGTCAATTATTCAGCATCAAATAATCTACATGTTTGAATGTGTAACATGACGATTATCTTACGTCATTTATGATATCTGCATCACTCGTTGTGTAGCTGAATTTCACCATTCAAAGATTTAGTCTTCTACAGGATGGGGTAGCTAACCCCATACCCAACATTCCTTCTTTGTGTGGGCTTGGGACCGGAAGTAACTCTAGAAGAGCTACAGGTGGAGTTAATTACGCAGTCTCGATTTATAATATCAACAAACTTTAAGCTACCATCAGAAATTCATAAACATTAGTCCCTATTCTTTATTCTTCCCATATTCATGAATATTGAACATCTTGGTAACTAAATATAAATAGGTATTTCTTATTTTCTGCTCACCTCCATATAAGACACAAACTATACGTCATTGAAGTTTACTATAATTGGCGACTTAGTAAAATATACGTTTACCTGATATTTCAATTATCAACTATTCAACCCGGTTTGACAAACGCGGAACGGAATTTTAAAACACAGAATAAATTAATAGTATTATAGTGTTGTGACTTTTGTGTTCAACAATTGATATCATTGATTGACTTTGGTTGGACAAACACTGAAAACCAATAAGCCTTGGACTAGTACTTCGTTCTACTTTGAGACTCTCCAACAGTTTGCATCCAAGAATCTACTCCAGATCGATCCCAGGATCTCTGATTCTCATAACGATAGCTTAACATTCGGACTGTTGAGTTGACGAAATATATTTTTAATGGTCTGTGGTTTTCAGGAGTTTTCCAGCCAAAATCAGTCCGTAAATTGAAACCTTGGAATATAAAGTATCTTATAAGGCTTATTATAAGTGAACAAGTTTATAATTAAATAGCACGTTGAATAGTCCGTTAAGTACTCATGAATATTCTGAAGTGTAATAAATATTTCTACTAGTGTAGTGAACAAGATATCTTGGTAGGGAATACTGAATGATCGTTTATTACAAACTGTTGTCAACCAGTTTTTCAGTCAGAAACGTTTCCACTGTTATACTCAATTATTAAATAACCTCTAGTACAAATGAGACGCCCATAATCTGATTGGTCACTTTACAGTAATCAATGTCATGTTTTCCAGCTTTAAGTACTTACCGAATCCTACTGAGTAAAAGTTTACCAAATATATTCTCAATCATTCAATATTATGAAGTGTACTTAATAGTCACAGCTTAGCTGAGACTTGGTTCTCAATAACAGTTTATATTTATGAACTGAAACAGTAATAATGAATCCGTAAAAAGCATTTTCAAAGATTCCCTGTTTACGCATTAACTAATAAGTAAACTAATACAATTTAGAAAATATCCGGTTATGTGTTTGATAAAAAATGAAAGCCATTTATTTCACTTTTTTATGATACTCAAGTTTGTTTTTGAAGACTAATTAAGAAAACAGACAAAAGAAATAAGCTAAAAATAAAGTCTTTTTGTTTCTATGCTAAATATTACATTTTAGTTTAGTTTTAATAAAAAAGAATTTACACTAGATCAAAGGAAAAAAAACAGGATAATTATATTTGACAAATTTCTAAAAATAGAAATGTAAATATAAACTGAATACATCAATATTGTGAACTAATAATTAAACACATGTTGATCTTAAACAATATTCAATAAGGAATGCTTCAATGAATAATATATTTTATCCACAGTGATTTCGCTCCCAGATTTAACTTTGATTTTAGTGACTGAATAGTATCATTAGTAGATACTTGGAAAGATAAGGTTGAAGTTGGATTTGATGAGTGATTAGTAAATGATGGTAATCGTTATAAAACTCCAGAAATAGGATTCGTGTTAGTTCATATTCATCAACAAAGTGTACCAGCAATCTTGCAGAAACTGAAGGTGTTAAATGGATTGAAATCATCATATCTTAAACTTAAAGTCTAAGATGTTGTTATGAACGAAAACGTAGGTAGAGAAGATCAATTTTTTATTCAACACAATTATTACAGAGTTCTTTGGTAAATTGTAAAAGCCATACATTAAATATTTCATTTGCTAATTACTTCATTTGTTTTTCACATTCCGTACCAACCATTCCAATTTACAATTCCTTTCTATTTTCGTTTCTGTTCTCTTCAACTTGATTATCTTAGCCTTCTGCTGCCAGGTTTTTCACTTCCAATTTGTGTTACATACTATCTATGTCTCAACATAACTAGCATATACGACTAAACTATTCAGCTATCTAGGTAACCACAAAACGTCATATACAAAATGTAACTGCAGTTTCGATACTTAAATACTGGGTCATATTAAATTAAGTCAATTATTTTCTTCTTTCAAGTTATAGTACGATCATTAGAATTCCTTTGCTGACATAAAATACTATTCTGACCTTCAAACAAATTATCGATCTATTTATTTATTGGTTGTAAAGTTTACATATGATCATTTTTTGTAACTGTAATAACAGAATAAAGTACTATAGGACAGAAAACAGATAAAGGAATATAAAATAATATTAGCAATTAGCTAAATTTTCTTTTATACAATTGAATGTACTTACATTTTTATGCTTAATTACATTTTCATGAATAAATACATTCGAGTACAAAAACGATGAAATATACATATAAGTAAAACGTAAAACCACGTCTGTTGTGAGATAGGAACTCACTAAAGACAATTGGTGAGTGGTTGCTCAACTTTGTGGATTGGTTGATGTTATACATTAACACCATCGGATGTCGGCTCAATGGTCTATCGGTTAAGTGATCTGGCGCGAGACTGATAGGTCTTGGGTTCGATTCTCACGAGGTGAGATCGTGGATGGGCAGTGCTGAGGAGTCCCACAGTAGGACGAAAAAGCAGTCCAGTGCTTCCAGGTTTTCCTTGGTGGTCTAGTTTCAATTGACTAATGCTTTCAACTATGAAAATACTGAAATCTCCACAAAACCCCTTCTGATTACTAAAAAAAAATTAATGAAATGAAATCGGATCAAAACTTTTTATATCCTACGTTTTCTCTTTTTCGTCTTGGAGAATGTTTTCGTAATTTTTTATTAAAAATAAAAAAACTTTTTTTTCCAAAATTGTTTTAACTTTGTCATTATTTTTAGTGAAAATTATTGACATCTCCAAGTGTAATACTAATGATTATAAATGATCATTGATGAATGTGAAGTATTAACAAATCGGTCAGTGTATTCGACTTTCAATTGATCGATGACAAGTTCGAATTTTAATCCATCTATTTTTGACTAGGTAGAAGTACCGCTCCTAACATAAATTATGTAGATTTAACCTGAGTTAATAAAAATTTTACTTGGTAAATTAACATCAAAGTGATAATAATAATAATAATATTAACAACAATATGGAAGGATAACTTACCAAGTCATATCATGTACCATTGATGTAATTCTTAGCCTGTGATACCAATTTGCTAGTAATATTTCATGGGAATCAGTAACTTATTTGAATTTTTGTCAAGTTTACAAGAATGATGACGCCATTCATGTAAAGTTGACCAATATTTTTTTACAGATGCATTGCAGTTGTTTCATCATAGTTTTATCTCTGTAGTGGTGTCCGTTATTCAAGATTCCTAAAATAAAATATACATCTGTTGTTTGGTCGTTTCTATTTTGAAGATAATTTTTACATTATCATCAATAATTTTCCTTCTGGTACAGAATGAATACGCTGAGTTGCCAGTATCATGATCCTATAAACACGAAGATAGTACACATTTACAAATAAGCATGACTGATTGAAGGAAAGTGAAAATGTAAACCGCTGGATGTTAACTTAGTGATCTGAAGGCTAAATAATCATTAGTAGGCCTAGATATCAAAGGTTTGATCAGAGGTATGGTGGCATGTTCCTTCTACTAAGGAGCTCTGACGAAACAACTGTTCAGTGCTTCCTGGTTTTCAATGATTGTTTAAATAAAGCCAGTCAGTGATATAAAACTGGTGATTGAATTTTAGTAAATTTATTTGCATTGATACTTAAAGTTTTATTGATGGTTGCCAATTATTTGTTTATCACGAAAGATAAAAGAAGATAGATCTTGTGATAAATACTGGTTTTACTCCTAATATATTTTATTTTGTTTTTAATCGTTTTCTATAGCGGTGCAGATCTACTAGCTATGAATGTTGATGGTAATATGCCTTATGAATGCTGTATGCCTGGATCAACATTGAATTTAGTCGAAACTGAAATGGATAAGAGAGGTTAGTTTTTTGTTGACTGGAAATTCATCCATCGTTTTTGTCACAAACCGATACTGTTTGAGATACCATTGAATAATGTAGAACGTTAAGCACTGTGTACCTCCATAGTAGCACACGTCCATGACCTTGTCATGGACCTTCATTTTTACAGAGAATAAGTCTTCAGGTTATTGATTTGGAGTCCATTGGACCAAACTTTAAACCCCAGTTAATCCACTATATAAAGCAGCAATCATCCAGTCCCTTTAGAGTTCAACTACCTTACTCTCTATCTGAATGAACTCTACTGGTCAGAGATTAGTCTTTAAACCAGTCACTTCAGAGCTAACAATTATAATTTCCTATAAATCTTTTGTGGAAATTTATTTCATTCATACTATTCTTCACAAACTCTGAATAGAATAAGAAATTTGTTTTAATAATATTATGTCATCCCTTTCATTTCCCGATTTCGCTGTACTTTTCTTAAGAATTAGTTTTCCTATGATTTGACTTTCACTTCCATAAACGTTTTATTAACTCTATTTATTTATCATCTCGTTATGTTGATATGATATTAGCAAACTTGAACTAATAAACATCTACACCAAGTTCTTTATACTTTAAGAATGACCAAACATTTTTGGCTTTTATTGGTACTTCATCTATTTTCAGCTCATGATGTGAATTGTTCTAAGCATTACAATATCCTTATATTAGTATCTAAGATAAATAAATACAGAACACTGTTTTCCAATAAGTTCACATCTGCTTCTGCTGTTGTAAGTTCAAATTGATTATCCAAACAGGCTAACGAAGTCTAAGACAAATAAATATTTTCAACTTTTAGCGTATGGATTTAGGATTATGAGTAAGGAAAGACGGATGGTGACTAGCAGTGGAATCCAGGATGTGCGTTTCGTCCTATTTGCGACTAGTCATCTGGATGTGTCTGAACACCAGAGTTGATGTTCAACTGTAGTTCTAAACATTAATGGGAATTTTGATGGAGCTTTGTTCTCTGAGGTGGATGGTTTGTGATGACGTCGTTCAGAATAACGATAAAAGCTCCACAACCCAACCGTCCAGGTCAGAGAACAAAGCTCCATCGAAATCATCCACCTGAGCTACAAATCGTATCCATCATATCAATGGGAATTTTCAAACAAGCAATACAAAATGGTTTTAAAATAATATTGTTAATGTTCAGATGACTAGTACATCATGTAAACGTCACCACTCATACTTTAAAAGTATTTTTTCTTCACTCCATTAAACATTTCTCACTTCATATGAATAAACTTAAACATATATTTATAAGAAAAAGTAAACGGCTCAACTACATTGTCATGTACTTCATTTTCGAATGTTTAGTAGCAAAAGGGCAGAATATTGTGAATCTTACTTTCAAGACCATATGTACCAGTTAAACTTTGACTCAAATAATCTTGAATAACAACAGTCCTTGTAATAATCAGTTGATGTTATCCCTGGTTAATTTAGACATCTGTAAGTTATATTTCTCTGGTAATAACATGGTGCTTTGTAAATCAAACTGAGACATACCATAATCCACTAAACTTTGTTCATTGTTCAAGTACAAGTATACTGTAATAATGTTTTTGCTCAGTGATTTCTTCAATCTGTTCTTAACTAAAAGTGAACTAATAATTTTGAATGGTAACCTTGATGTTTTAAGTTTATCTTACTTGTCTAAAAGAAAAATACAGTTCCGATTATTTACCATTTAGCAATGACTAGTTTTTTAAGTAAAAAAATCTGAGTAGCGTCTACTGGTCTACTTAAATTGACTTTACACTTAAGTATTAAGCTCATTTCCGGTTAACAATCCATATTATTGCTAACTAAAAAGACATTTTATTTTTTATCCGTCAACTATCATCCTACTAAAAAAACCCAGATAGATTGACAAATGAGCACTTACTTATACATAAAGTGTATAAAACACTTAATTTTATGAATGAAATAATCTCCATCATTAGTTTATTTTACTATCAAATAAATCTCGTTTATTGATACGGTGTTCACAAGTAGTCAGGATATGAAATGCAAACTGTGGCTATATGATCTGATTCAAACATAAAAACCTTAAAAATCCTAATTTTGTTTCATCCAATCACATAATTCCTCTGTAATTTTTTTTCAGTAGTGTCAAACAACTATAAAATAAAAGAAGGGGTTTTTAAGGACATTATAGTAATTCCAATAGTTGAGATCATGAGTCAATTAAAACTAGACCACCATGGTGAACATGGAAGCAATGGACGGCCGTTTCTTCCTGTCGTGGGACTCCTCAGCAGTGCGCATTCACGATCCTGCCTCGCGAGATTTGAACCCAGGACCTATCAGTTTCGCGTACAAGCGCTTAACTATTAGACCACTGAGCCGGAATCCGATGGTGTTAATGTCTAACTTTAACAAATGCGCGAAATTGAGCGACACATCTGCCATTGTCTTCAATCACTTACTATCTCACAACAGACCTGGTTGAACTCCACTGGTCACTGCTTCTCACTAGAACCCAAGGAAATACCTCTTGAAGCCAGTCACTAGTGGGCATATGTTGATTACTATCAGAAGGGTTTTTGTGGATATTATAGTAATTTTAATAGTTGAGATCATGAGTTTTGTGCGCGAAACTGATAGGTCCTAGGTTCGAATCTCCCGAGATGGGATCGTGAATGAGCACTGGTGAGGAGTACCACAATAGGACGAAACGGCCGTCCACTGCTTCCAGGTTTATCATGGTGGTCTAGTTTCAATTGACTCATGATCTCAACTATTAAAATTATAAAATACTTTGTTTTAGATCGCTTAGTACAAAATTTCAGGCATTTTCGTGTTTATTTGCCTATTCCACGACTATACTGATTTACTGAAAATTCAATGGTTAGTATTAAACAGTCTTTTCAATACCTTCTGTTAGATAGATGGAATAGGTAATTAGAAATTGAAGAACAAATGCCTAGCTATGTGTTTTCAGGTAAACTAGGCTACATCAAATAACTTGTTAATAAGAGAACAGAAAATTTAAAGTTTAGCTCAATCGATTGAACAAACCTAACATCTTAATAAACAGATAGATAGAAGGTAACATGAGTTTTTTGTATGTTTGTGAGTGGTGTTGTAAGCATGCTGGCTTTCAATTGATTAAATGTTTCGTATTTTGTTTCACTTACTTCATATGATTGGCTGGTTATGTGAGCATGTACACACATCATATAATCCACCTTTCTGTTTGCTTAACGTGTACACACATTCATACCTTGAAACCTCTAGACACTTATGCATAAATAACTGAATTTATGTGTCTGATGGCTTAATTAAAACACTCAATCGATTCCAGACGTTTTACTGAAAATGCGCCATTTTAGATTAAATTTCAGAAAAATGGAATTTTGATACAGTTTATACGGTAGTCATATGCGACGAAATTCACTATAGGAATGATCGTTTCCTGATACGTGTACACATATATACCAGTTAGAAAACTTATGCTATGTTATGATACACACTTTTGATTTAACTCATGAAGCGATTTTTTTGAGGAACGATTGAAACCATAGAGCACTAAACAATCGTTTCCCTCTAGTTAGAAACTGTTTGGAAGAATGCAACAACAATACAACCAGGAGTTGAAATTTAGTGCTCTTGGCGAGCTTCTTGCCATTGAATCACTGACTTGATATCAGTAGTCTAAATTTCCAACTTCAATTGGTTCACAGTAAAACGCGACATGATTAAATTTCAACAGTTACAACCAATTATTAAAGTTGTAACTGCGGGTCACTAAATTTTAACCATGCAATCTAAATGTAAGGTCTTTGGAGCGAAACCTGAAGGTCTCAGGTCTAATCTCTGATGATAACATGGGTGAGTAAATCTTAATAGGACTAAGATCAACTACATCTTCAATACTATCTGACTTACGGTGGCTTCCAAAGTGATGTTCTTTGATGATGAAAACCAGTCATAAATAAAAATTGTCTCCATAACCACTTAAATAAAACCATTTTGAATTATTGCCAAAAATTTGATTTCCTAATTTAGCTGTACTGATCATCAGTGAGTTTCGGGCTCAGAAGTACAAGAATTTTCTATCTTTCAGCAACTTTTATTACGTGAACCCGGTTCATGAAACTTAGTTATTTGCCAAAGATTCAATGAAATATCGATTGTTTCAAAAGGTTAATTAGAAAATAGAACTATTTAAGATAGGTCATTGTGTATAATATAGTGTAAATATGTGAATCCCCTCCATTCATACAAGATAACCAGAATTGAAATTAGATTATGAAGTAAAAAGATATTAGACAGGATTCGAAAATGTGGATAATCTGATTACGTCTCATTAGTTTAAAAGTATTGTTCGTGACTGTCCAAGTTTGCCATGAATGCTCATCTCTGAGGAGTCTTTGGACTGAATGAGACAGCTGTTTGGTGATCTGTGATTTTCTATGCTTCTCTAGCTGAAGTCATTCTGTAACGCAAATCGACCTTCAAGATATGTCTTCATAAAAACAGCTAATTCCTATACATGCTTTCGCAGTTTCATTATCAGTAAAGTGACATCTCATGGAATTAAATCTTGTAAACATGTCACCTTTCTAAAATATTCTTTACATCGAAAAACAACAAAAAATGGGAGAAAAATAAAAATTTTGTTAATATGTGTATCCCTCTTGTTCTAAAAGGCATAACACAAGAAGAAATAGATGATTGGCATCGTGTGCCAGAATGTGAAATGCTTGCAGATATGGAAGCCTTATACAAAGCTGGTGCAGACCTTGATCGACTAGATGCACAAGGAGCATCTATGGTGAGTAAAGCTAAGTAGCCTTAGTTCCATTATTTTATAGGGAGATGAATTGATTTGTAGTTAAATTATCATTATCTTTTAAAGACAGAAGAGTAGGTTTATAAAATACTGATATAAAATGGTTTGTCGATATCAATTTACGGTTGTTATATATCACATATTCAGATCCTAGAAACACTATTCTTCAGTTAAAATATCGAAATAATTGTAATAACCTGAATATCACTTCACTACAATGACCAATCAAATCAAAAGCATTTTAATGATGTTACTGGTGTGTGAATTCGTCACTGCATCTATGGTACAAAGAATAAAAACTATCATTTCACATTTAATCATTCCAAAATCCAGATAAACACTTTCGTTTGTATTACAACATCGAAGTTAATAAACAACTGGAAACTACTACTTAAAACTACTGAGGTATTCATTAATGATTCATCTTTGCAACTTCAATGAATTCAAAATGATGCTTTTATCACTGATTAAAAGCGCTATGAAATATTTACTGTTCCATAAGTTCATTCGAATAAAGTTTTGTTTAACAATTTAATCAATTAACATGAACTTTTGATACGTTTCTTTATACATTTTAATTGCTAATTAGATTTCACCTTTAAGTTATCTGTTCCCAGTTTTGTGTTAGATTATTTGTACATATTTATCGTAAACTAATTTCAAAATAGAAAATCATGGTTTTACAGAGGATAAAATATCGGCAGCTTTATTATTGTGTTCACAAATATACAAATTATATTCATTTCTTCCTCTGTAGTGAAAGAGAACACAAATGGAGACAATCTGAATACAATACTACAGAATTTCTTAGTATGATCTGTGAACTATACAGTAAATACCTCATTTACAAAGTGTTCATCAATCGTCTCAGACATAATCTTTCTTTCATTTCCATGCTAATTACTCACTGTTCTCATTCTCTCCTCTTCGATTTTCTCATCCTTCTGCCACCAAGCATTCCATTTTCGACTGATGATACATGCTACTTATATCTGTGGACATCAGTAGCATACACCACACCTCCAGCAAAAAATAAGACATCAAGTCACTGTCAGATAGGTTTTCGTTTCTCCAGTAATTCACTCACCAGTTATACTATCATTATATTTTTAATTTAATTCTAAAATAGAAAATTGTCGAAGTTCAATGACCGACACTTTAACTGGATAACCACTTTGTAGTTAAAAAAGGATCAACTGAAAAATCTATTATGATTTGAATATCATGACTGATTAATCATTATTTAAGTAATTGATAATGTTAGTAATACTTATGATAAGCCGTGTCTCTTCTTAGTTAACATATTTCGTATGTTCATATGAAGGTTATCTTGAAAATTTACTAATATTATGTTTCAGTAGTATTAGCTATTGTACGATGTTTTCATTGTTTGAGTACGTATATTCATGAACGCTTTACACGCTTCCTTTCTTATCTCAACAATGAGAGTTACTTATAAATACAAATTAAAATACGGTTAAATATAAGCTAAAAGCAATAATAATACCGATTCCATGATATACAGTATGTCACAGATAAAAATTATTTTAAACATGAGGTGATAATAATTGTTCTTAAACTTAAAAGTTTAACGTGATCGTGAGGATAGTTATATCGACTAGTCAAATAACCTACCTGCTCACCATAGTTCACATACATTGCGTATAACCAACCATGCAACCAATGGAACATCTAGTTATGTGTTTTGCTCAATATATTCATTACTTTTGATTTCACAAATTCATTCTATCTTTTCTACTACAACTGATACTGTTACCACTTCTACTGCTTGGGAATGTGTTTTGGTAACTTCATCTCGCTGTGCCCAAATGACATGGAACTTGAAACGATGCACATTTCTGCCAAGTTCTGTGCTGCATATGACTGGCTGAGTGACTTTCTATTCGTGTGCAAAGTTATTTGAATACGATTTCATAAGAATCAAAACAGTGTTGGAAAAATCTACTGACAGAAAAGGATTAAAGTTTTTAAACATATGAAAATCAAAACTAAGAGAACAGTTTTATTTAGATTGTTATACAAATGATCAGGAATCTTTCTGGAAAACTATTAATAGATTGGCATGATCTAGCAATTGATGAATTTTCAGGTTATAAGGACGAAGTAAATCGAACCTGCTTATAAAATTGTTATTAAGGGGCTGTGGAGATTGTTGACTTTTAATAAAATCGTGAACCCATCTCAGTAAGACCAATGTTACAAAGCTGAAGGCACTAGACGTCCGTTTCTGCCTGATATGGTGCTCCTCATGAGCGCACACCGACTAGACGGCCGTCTAGTCTACTAGCTCTGAGAATAAATTTCCGAATTTTTTATGAAGAGCTGTGATCAGTAGGGCTATGTCATGTCGATTATTAGGCAGTTGCACACTGAAGGCAATGGGAGATGGTTGCTCAGTGTCATTTATTGATGAAGTTAAGACATTATTATGTTGGATGCCGATCCAGTTATCTAGATGTTAATCGTTCATGCGCAAGACTGAAGGTCATGGCATGACCTCGACTTTCGTATACACGATTGTAGATGTGCACTGCCGAAGAATCCCATATGATCGCGCTATCATATCTGGAATACAATTTTAGATATGATCAAAGATATTAAAACTGCCACAATTGATTATTTATATACTTTAACATCATAAACCTATTCATCACGACAGAACTAAAAGACACATCCCTATTCATCATCAATTATACAAACCATTCAATACGTACAATCCATCAAAATCAAAATTTAATTGAGTTCAACTAATTGTGTGTACCAACATATTTTCGGCGAAATATGCAAACAAGAAAGACATCCACTGGGATCACCGATATATGGATTAATTACAGAAATAATAATGAAGAGATTAAAAACTTTAGTCATACCAATGACCAAATCGAATTTGGACACTTTTTGCAAATGACACATTTGTCATTACCAAACGAGACCAACTGGAAAGTATTCACAATGTGGTCAATAAAACTCAAACTAGTGACGGCATCAAATATCAAACTACTATATTCGAATGTTGTGATCCCCGTAGATAATAAAAGAAAACTCGAGACTCAAGTATAACAGAAACTAATTTATCTCTATCAAATCCTCATTTTAAAAAAACAATGACTCATAAGTTATATTCTGACACTTCAAATTATCAAGGATATATTGCAGCATAACCACTATATGATTTTGTCAAATAGCTACCCACAAAAAATTACCAAAAAACACTTATCAAATTTATTGCCATAATCAGAGCGATAATCATCAAATAGATAATACTATTTTACATGAATATCATCTCCGAAACCACAAAAGATTTATTAGAACTCATACAGAGACAGGTATAGCCTACAAAACCACGAAATCTCTTTAGTCAATATTGTGCAAGTCACAAGAAACAACAGTAGAATGCAAGCCAAATAAATTACGAAAATCCGAAGAAATACTATCTCAGACTGAGTACCTACTATCTTCATGTACGTAATCATCAACTAGCTGATAAACGCTACGACATATCTTCACTAATATCAATATATGAAAACAATGACAGATATGAATTTCACCAGGAAAACTATTAAAAATCGAACAGAGGAGTCATAAAGAAAAGTATGGGATTTTTAGAATCTTGATACCCATGATTCCTACATAATGATCACGTTAAAACGTATAGTAAATGTGATACATTTATTTATTATTTATTTATTTAAACACATACATATTAGTAAAAAGGGGCATCAAATACATAAGCGCCACACAAACAATGGATTGAAGATGGACTGAAGATCAGTCTCATAATCCATTGTTTCATATTAGAATATAGTAGGGTTTTGTAACTTTTCAGTATGAATCCACGATTTCCATTGACAATTGAACAAGTGTTCAAAAAATTAGCAACACTATTAAAAAAGACATTTTTCAGTAAGAAAAAAAAAGGAATAATAAATAACACACATAAATTGTATTTTGAATTTCAGTTGTTGTGATCCTCTTAGGTTCAACTATGTTATTTAAAAGCTGATTCGAAATAATTAGAATTTTATGAGTTCATGGGTATACAGAACATATATACATTTCCTAATCGTATTACTTGGTATTTAATCTATTTTTTTTACAAACATTTCTGGAAAAAAAACTCAATTTATTTGTTTTCGAACTTGAACCATTAAGTTGGGAATGGCACATTTTTCTAAATATCGTCGTCAAGAGAAATATTCGGAAACCAGTTGTAGTGTGGTATATGCTACTTATATAGACAAACACAAGTAGTAGGTAACACCAGTTAGAAGTGGAATGTCTGTCAGAAGAAGGTTGAAAAGATGAAATTGAAAAGAACAGGGATGTAAATAAAGAGTAATTGTAATAATGATAGGAATGAAGGAACGAACAGAAATGAAATTCAATCGATACGAAAATGAATGAACAATGAAATCACAGAAGATGGATTGGTATTTGCAGAAGGGACAGTCAAGACTGAAACAACTGATTGTTATTTTGCAAATTAACTATATAGTTATCGTAATTTCTTGTGATAGTCTGTAATTTGTGCCAAAATACACTCGATTATTCCCAGTCGTCTTTTGTTCCCTACATTCAACTTAACAAAATAAATTGTCATATCTTAATTGTCAAATTATGATAAACATAATTGTTGTTGTATTTCTTGAAGTAAAAAAGATTTTTTTTAGTTTTTTTTTGTAACTAAAGTTAGTTTCATTGTATCTATCGAAATAAATAATTGTGTATACCTGACAACATTCAGCGAATCTCTATGGTTGTTTGTTTTATGCTCTTCTTTTCAAAATATATTCATCATTAGTTTGACTATAATTCTATTTTTATAGTTATTTTTGGCTTCAGCCTACATCTCATCATTTATTTTTTCACTGTTCCAATTCAGTTCTTTTTCCTGATATAATGAATCTGTTAATTAGATTTTTGTAAACGAAAAAAAAAGAAAAAAAATTTACACGTCCTAATTTTTTTCTTGTCTTGTTTTTTTATTTAATTTCTGTCGGAACTGGGCCTGTGTGTTCTGAATTTATTGGCTACCTATAAGTAAATATTTTCTATGTAATGAATAAGAACAGAAAAGACGACTTGGTAGATTGGTATAAATGAAAGACAACGTATCTTGTTACGAATTATTATATAATAATGGCAGTAATCATAATAACAGTAGTTTTATGATTCCTATGGGGTACTCAAAAACAGTAGAATATCCTGAGCGAACCTCTGTTCTTGATAATTGCCTTCTCAAATGACCTTTTAAATTAAAAAAAGTAGGTTTTGGAAGTCATTTAGTCGTGATCCGTGCTAAAGTTTACGATATAAAAAGACAGTGACTATCACACCTACTATCACACTTACAACTTAATTGAAACATTTCGATAAAATTATAAATTAATCATTGTAGAACAAAATGATGAAGTAATTAGAAACAATTATCCGCTCGAATACTACTTTTTTCGAACTAGAATTTTGTGAAATCACGGGTATACAGAACATGTAAATATATATATATATATATATTTATATATTTATTCATAATGGGATTTGTGGAGATTTCAGTATTTTTCAAAGTTGAATTCATGAGTCAATTGAAGCTAGACCACCATCGAAAACCTGAAAGCACTAGACGGCCGTTTCGTTCTATTATGGGACTCCTCAGTAGTGCACATCCACGATCCCGCATTCGCGAGATTCGAACCCAGGATCTACCAGTCCCGAGCCAGAGCCCTTAACCGATATATATATATATTTCCTGATCGTATTACTTGGTATTCAATCAATTTTTTGCAAACATTTCTGAAAAAAACAGTTTATATGTTTTCGAACTTGAAGCATTAATTTGTGAATGATTCATTTTTCTACATGTTGTCAAGGGAAACATTCCGAAACCAGTTACTTGTTATTTACAACATAGCATAAGTTTCAGACTTCGTAAGAGTTCACCCCTAAAATTTGACACAATCCAGGATTTCTATTTTTCGTAGAGATCAGAACATCTTTACATCCCTAAACGAGAATTCAACGACTCATATTTCTAATTTTATTCAACCTTAAATATAGTGCGACTACCAACCGATTTTACAGAGAGCATGTTCTCTGGCCTCCAACACTTCATTAGTTGATGTCAGTTAATGATGAAAACAGTCTTCTTATATAATTTTTAATCAATATTATATTCTAAATAATTGTTTCGTTAACTTTATATTCAAATGTTTATCATCTTAACCTTAAATATACATTTTTTTGTTTGATAAAGTTACACATCGCAGCTGCTAGTGGCTTTGAAGAAGTTGTTTTATTTTTGTTAAAACGTGGAGCGAAAATCGATCTGCTTGACAAAGATGGTTGGCAAGCTATACATATTGCAGCTTGTTGGTGTCAAGTAAGTATATATTATTCAATATACAAATTATGCTTACTCACTAGTAGCTTGTAGATTTATATAATTTGTGAAATCTGAATCTTATCATCTTATTTTTTGATTAGGATTACTAGCCGATCTAAATTAAACAATCATTAAAGACTTTAAAACATCGAACAGCTATTTTGTTCTGATATGGTGCTCTTTAGTGATGCACATTTACAACTCCCCGTACTGGGAATAGAAACCTAGACTTTCGGCTCAATATACGAACACTTAACTTTTAGACCACTGAGCACGTATTCAGTGAGGTACAAACCTAACTTCAACCAATCTACGGCACTATTTTTCTCATCATCTTAAGTAGTTATCTACTTCACATTCAACACAGTTGAACTTCAATGGTCAAGGCTACTCTTAAAAAATTTCTACTGAAGCCAGTCACTAATGGGCACATGATAATTATGGATTTGAGAAATTCTGGAGATAACGTTTTCTGTAGAAAATAAAACAAAAAAAGACTTTTCATGTGAATTTTTTAAACTCTCATCATTATTGCCTAAGTGTCCTTGTTTACAATGTTTTCACATAAACCATTTAATCGCTGACAGACAACAGTTGTTGAAATTTGATAACTTACAAAGTATTATTTATATTTTATTTACCTTCTTATGAAATTTATGTGTAAATTGAATAAAGTCATAACCTTTCAGTTTCGTCATTGTTTCTTAAACTAGTTTTGTTATAATATGAAAGGTAGAAATATCCTCATTCTAATTTTTGAGGTCTTTCATACCACAACAATATACATTAAATTAAAAATCTAATTAAAATGTACTTTAATATGACAAGATCTATTAACCAATCAGACTATATTTGACATTGAAAATAATCTTATCTTCCACCTAATGATTGATCTGATTAACATGCAGTAAGAAATTATATATATAGTGTTTAGTAGATGTCCATGTGTAGTCGGTCAAAAAGTGACTAATTAAATCCCCTTATGTAATGAAATCTTTAATAATTAAAACATTATTAAAAATTCACTTAGTATTGTCTGGTTGAATCTTCCCATTGATGCTTAGGACTGCAACCGATCAGTCTCTTATTGACATATGTGCATATATATGTGAAAATAGGACGACACGCGCGTCCTTGATTCCACTGCTAGCCACTATCCATCTTTGCTTATTATTAAAAATGTAAAAAAAGTAAAGACAGTTTTAGGCAAAAGATAAATGGAATAGCATTTTTATACTATCCACTTAGTAGTAGTGTGGTATATGCTACTTTTATCGAAGAACACAAGTAGTATGTGACACCACTTAGAAGTGCAATGCCTATCAGAAGAAGGTTGAGAAGATGAAATTGAAAAGAACAGGGATGTAAATAAAGAGTAATGGTAACAACGATAGGAATGAAGGAACAACGAAGTTTATAAAAGACAATTGATGGAAGATATACAAATGAAGTATTCAATGTTTGGTTTTCATATTTTGGCAAAACATTCTGTAATTCTGTAAGTATATTAACAATAAAATTGATCTGTTAACTCAAGTTCACTTCCACTACAGTAGTAAGTATCTCATATACACCAGTTTGATGATCCCAGTGAAAAAATTACCATTATTTTGTACATTAATTAAACATAAGACTGTTTTTGTTTGTTTGTTTTGAATATGTTTCCCTCATTAACTGAATGATAATTAAGTGATAGATTTGTAAATTTATTAAAATAAATAAATAACATTTCTGGAACATAATTTTAATAGATAAAGTAATTTTAAAAAAGAAAGAAAATAAACCACAATTAAATATCTTAATTCAAATAAATTAGGTTTAGGGATTAAATGACTTGTTGTTTTAAAATTAGATTGTTTTCTAAATGAAATGTTTTGGAAGAATTCATCTATGTTCAGTATATATATACATATATATATCAGAAGGGGTTTTTGTGGATATTATGGTAATTTTAATAGATGAGATCATATATATATATATATATATATATATATATATATATATATATATATATATATATATATATATATAAATTTACATTTCTAGAATTTTCCATCTCAATTCAAATCAATGGATTCATATATTCATTTATTTTAAAAACAAAATCAATTGATTACCGTTTATCTGAATGTACTAATGTAGTGTGATCTACTTATATCCATATAAGTAGTATATGGTGATGGTCAGACATAGAATGTATTTTAGTAGAAGACCGATAAGGAAAGAACTGAAATGAAGCGCAATCGGTAGGGAAATGCATGAACAATGCAATTAGGGTAGATGAACTGATATTTACAGAAGGAACAGTGAAGATTGAGACAATTGACTGTTAATTTGCAAATTAACTGTTTATTGTATGGTTATCAGAAATTAGTGAGATAGTCTGCGATTTTGAGCTTAAATACATTCGATTGTCCCCAGTCGTGTTTCGTTCACTACACTACCAATAATAATAATAATAACAGTAACAAGAAAGATCTGGATAGAAGCATATGATTAATTGAAATTGTAGACAAAATTCTAATTACATTTGCACTTAAATAAATTTTGCATGATCTATTAATACTGGAATTCTGTTGTTGGTGGTGGTGGTTGTTTTTTTCCTGCTTATATACAGCCGTTCTATCTAATTTATTGATAAGTCGATAAAAATTAAACATTATCTCACGTTGTCTATCAGTTAATTGATCGTTTCCAAGGAGATAATAAATCATATTGGTTGACTATGAAAAATAAGTTTTAAATAATAAAATGAGACTATAAGCGAAAAATAAAGAAAGAAAAAGAATTTCGTTAATTTTGAAAAGAGACCAAAAGGGGTTTTGTGGAGAATTTGGTATTTTCATAGTTGAAATCATGAGTCCCATAATAGGACGAAATAGGCGTCCAGTGCTTCCAGGTTTTCCATGGTGTTCTAGCTTCAATTGACTCACGATTTTAACTATGGAAATTTAGAAAATGGTGAATGTGAGATAAAAAGAAAGATAAACTAGTTGGTTTTTATTAATAAAATATTTTGAATAAAATCTGATTAACAAATAAACATAATTTCAATAGTTGAGATCATGAGTTGTTCAATTTCGTGAATGGGTTGAAGTTAGACAATAACACCGTTGGATGCCGATCGGCTCAGTGGTCTAGAGGATAAGCACTCGCGCGCGAGACTGATAGGTCCTGGGTTCGAATCTTGCGAGGCATGATTTTGGATGCGCGCTGCTGAGGAATCTCACAAAGAACAAAACGGTCATCCAGTGCTTCCAGGTTTACCATAGTGGTCTAGCATCAATTGACTCATGATCTCAAGTATTAAAATTACTATGATATCTACTAAACCCCTTCTGATATTAAATAAACATAAATAATTAATATATTTGTAATATCCTAATGAGTAGAAAAATTAGATCTCCTGACGTTTCGTGACTCAGTGTAAGCCACTTCTTTAGAGAATAAATAACCGGACGTCAGAAAATCTAATTTTTCTACTCATTGGGATATTACAAATATATTATTTATTTATAACAGTCGACCCAATTCTCAATTTATTCAAAATTATCAAATCAAGACTTGGTAATGATACCTGTAAATAAACATAATTTTTATTCTTATGAAACTACACCCCATTCCACAAGCTAGTAGGTGTCAGGACTCAGTAAGTAAGTGGATGATGCGATGGCATTTGAAGCAAATAGTACTGAGTTTGAGTTGCGGAATGAATATCAACTCTGACATGCAGGTACATTCAGATGACGAATCGTAAATGAGACGAAACGCACGTTTTCGGTTTCACTGTTAACCACTGAAATATACGTTTTATTGCTTGCATGTAGAAATTTGTTTAAACTCTTGTAATTTTAGTCATTATTTACTAATTTAAAACGTTCATATAATCTATTATAATGTTGTACATTTAAAACAACATCATTAATACTTCTTACTGAGATCAAACTCTTAGATGTTTAATGTTTCTAGAAGCAAATCAATTATTATCTGTATTGGTTTTCTTTTAGAGAAGATAACTATAAATAACATCACTTATCTATGAATTAAAATTGACTCTGTTCATACACAGTTATTTCATCTTCTATCTATTAAATACACAACTTTATAGAAATAATAAATTATCCATTATGTGTATACTATTTCCATTTGTCACTTGCTTCATCAATAAATTAAAATGATCAACTTAATAGAATTAAACCAACGTAGTGAATGTTGATGAAAAATATAAACAGTCTTAGGTTCTTCTAAATTTATTTGAAATAAAGCTACTTAGGCAGATACTAACGAGTATATCCTATATGGTCATCAATCATAGGTTTTGTTTGCCTCATAGGTTTTCATTATGTGTGACGTAGACAATTAATTAATAACTGATTATTTATTATAATTAGAAAATAACTAAAATATTAGGGACATTGAAATATTTGCAAACCTATTCAGTCAGTGGAAATTTTCCTTATCTTCTTTGTACAGCTCAGCAATCTATTCACGTTTACTGTTTGATAAATAACCTTTTATATACTTAGTATCAAGTGTTTCCCTCATTAAAATAATCATGACAATACAATATTTAACCATAACTAAAAGTGGTTGGCAATGAGGTCAGTTAAATAAGTATCTTAGGAGGAATGTTCACTTCAATATTAACATATGAAGACCATGTGTAAGATAACAATGACAGAATTCTGTGTAATTATTAAATAAATTGAGCATTATATATAGAAGATTAATAATAAATATATTATTGTAATATCCCAATGAGTAGAAAGTTGTATTTCTGACGATTCATGACTTAATGTAAGCTAATCGATTGTATGTATTTGTGATTGAGATCATGAATCAATCAATGTTAGACCACCACTGGAAACCTAGAAGCACTGAACGGCCGTTTCATCTTAGCAAGAGATTTCTCACAAATGCTCATCCACGATCTCAGCCGCGGGATTCGAACCCATAACTTTTGGTCTCGCGCGCCAATACCTAACCTCTAGAACACTGAGCCACCGTCCAACGGTATTAATGTCTAACTTCAACCAATTCACAAAATTGTATATATTTACTCTGAAAAAGTGATTTACATCGAGTTATGAAACGTCAGAAATACAATTTTCCTACTCTTCCAAATACCAAAAAATATATATATTTATTAGAATTATGTGTAGTTTTGTTTATTCAATTTATTGTATCGTGGAAAGTGTTACATTCACAATAAATTATTAACATATTTCATTCCTCCTATTGTTCAATTAAAATAGGAGAAATGTAATAGAAACGGCTAAATTTAATGTTAACGAGTAATTAATTCTTTTTATTGGAAATGATCTAGGAGTTTTGCCCTCAATGATAAATAAGAATTTCTTTTTTCAATGTTCACAACCTCGTCATATTTCGTACCTCTAATTGAAACGTCATGAAATATTTCTTTATTTTTTCTAGCAGACGTTTATCTCAAGTCGTGAGTTATATTCAAGAGGAATCATTAGAATAATTGTTGAGATTTAGGTTTGTTAAGATTGTTACTGAGACTGAAGATACATCTTCATTCTTCAGTGAACAATGAATTTTTCAAATTATAGATAGTTTATTTAGGCATTAAGTGACCTCATAGTAATAAAGCTCAACGGACACACAACATAGTTTTGAAATCTTTGAATTCTCACAGTTCATTTTAAGTCACACAGAATGTACTTTAGTGTCGAATCTGTTTCAGCTAAGTTGCCACATTTCAAACTTAGTCCATATCATGAAGGGCTCAATATTTAGTGACTTATGAATACGTTTATCACTGTAGCAGTATTGTTAATGTTTATTTTTCATCTCAGTTTCTGAGATTTCGAATCATAAAATAATACAGGATTTTAAGAACCGGCTTTGACTGTTAGCCATTGAGTAACATAATTTTTCCATTTGAATTATACTTAATAATCGTACCATACTCAAGACTTACTTACTTACTTACTTTCGCCTGTTACTCCCAATGGAGCATAGGCCGCCGACCAGTATTCTCCAACCCACTCTGTCCTGGGCCTTCTTTTTTAGTTCTATCCAGTTTTTGTTCATTCTTCTCATGTCTGTCTCTATTTCTCGGCGTAATGTGTTCTTTGGTCTTCCTCTTCTCCTTTGACCTTCAGAATTCCATGTGAAGGCCTGTCTTGTGACGCAATTAGGTGATTTCCTCAAAGTGTGCCCAATCCACTTCCAGTGCTTCCTCCTGATTTCTTCCTGCGCTGGAATCTGATTTGTTGTCTCCCACAGTAACTTGTTGCTGATAGTGTCTGGCCATCTGATCCGAAGTATCTTGCGTAGACAGCTGTCAATAAACACTTGTATCTTCTGGATAATGGCTTTCGTAGTTCTCCACGTCTCCGCCCCATACAATAGAACTGTCTTGACATTTGTATTGAAAATTCTAACCTTGGTGTTGGTTGACAATTGTTTTGAGTTCCAGATGTTTTTCAGTTGTAGGTATGCTGCTCTTGCTTTGCCGATCCTCGCCCTCACATCTGCATCTGATCCACCGTGTTCATCAATGATGCTGCCCAGATATGTAAAGGTTTCCACATCCTCCAAAGCTTCTCCGTCAAGTGTAATTTGATTGATGCACATTGTATTGTATCGGAGAGTCTAGCTTTTCCCTTTGTTTATAATGAGACCTACTGCTGCTGAGGCTGCTGCTACACTGGTCGTTTCCTCCTGCATTTGTTGTTGCGTTTGTGATAGAAGAGCCAGATCTTACTGAAGAGGATGTGTAGTATCTTGGCAGTTGCTGCTACATTTGCCTTCAGTACCTCTGCCGGGATGTTGTCTGGTCCCGCTGCTTTGCCACTCTTGACTTGTCTAATGACCATGATGATCTCTTCAATTGTTGGTGGGCCAACATCGATTGGGAGGTCTGTGGGTGATGCTTCGATGTTGGGTGGGTTCAGTGGAGCTGGTCGATTCAAGAGTTCTTTGAAGCGTTCTACCCACCTGTTTCGTTGTTCTCCAATGTCGGTGATTACTTTGCCTTCCTTGCTTTTCACTGGTCTTTCTGGCTAACGGTAATTTCCAGCAGGTTTCTTTGTTGTATCATACAGTTGTCTAATGTTTCCCTCTCTTGCAGCCTTTTCCGCTGTCATCGCTAAATCTTCCACATATTTGCGTTTATCGGTTCTGATGCTCCTTTTCACTTGCTTGTTTGCCTCTGTGTATTCGGCTTGTGCCTTGACTTTTTCCGCTCTTGTTCGGCTGATATTGATTGCTGCCTTCTTGTTCCTTCTTTCTTCAATTTTATCCAGTGTACCAACAGTGATCCATTCCTTTTGATGGTGCCTCTTTTGGCTCAAAACCTCCTGACATGTTGAAACGATTGCCTTCTTGATACCTTTCCAGTTGCTCTCCATGGTAGTCCCGTCTCCATTGAGTAGATCATGAAAAACCTCGAACCTGTTGCTGAGGGCTATGTTGAATTTGTTGAGTTTGTCAGCATCGCGAAGAAAGGCCGTATTAAACTTTTGTGATGTTGCCCGCGCCGTTGTCCAGTGCTTCTTGAGTTTTAGTTTCATCTTGGCGACCAGCAAATGATGATCGGATGCTATATCAGCTCCTCTTCTGGTTCTCACACCCTCCATCGTCCTCCTGAACTTTTTGTTGATGCAGATATGGTCGATTTGATTCTGTGTAATGTTATCCGGTGAAATCCAAGTGGCTTCGTGTATGTTTTTGTGTGAGAATATGGTGCCACCTATGACCAGTTTATTGAAGGCACATAGGTTTGCAAATCTCTCACCATTTTCGTTCCTTTCTTCCAGTCCATGTTGTCCCATGACGTCTTCGTATCCAGTGATGTCCTTTCCAACCTTGGCATTGTAATCTCCCATCAGAATGGTCAGGTCCTTGGTTGGGCACTTCTCGAAGATCGACTGCAACCTGTCGTAGAATTGGTCTTTAGCGTCTTCATCGTAGTCGTTGGTAGGCACATAGCATTAGATGACGTTCATTGTAATGCCCTCTCTCTTTGTTTTGAAGGAGGCTTTGATGATCCTTGGTCCATGAGATTCCGATCCAATTAGTGCATTTTGTGCTTTTCTGGACAGCATCAATGCAACTCCTTGTGTATGTGGGGCATTTTCTTCTTCATGACCGTAGTATAACAGAAGTTCTCCTGAAGACAGTCGTTGTTGTCCAACCTGCGTCCAATGTGTTTCACTGATTCCAAGCATTTCCAGGTTGTATTTTCTCATTTCTGCAGCAATTTGGAAGACTCTTCCGGTCTCCCACATTGTTCGGACATTCCATATACCTATAAAAATGTTCGCTCTGGTTGTAAGAAGGTACATCGGCCTCATGACTTCCGAAGGAACTCGGCTTTCATCATGAGACGTCATAATTATTCCTTCTACTCCCAGGGCAGAGTTTAAAAGGTTTGAATTATTTTTTCTGGTTAGCGTTTTTTTAGCGAGATGATTTTCTACGGGATGGTGTCGCTAACCCCATGCTCAACCCTCCTCCTTTGTATGGGCTTGGGACCGGCAGCAACCCCCAGAGGAGCTACAGGCGGAGTTATATACTCAAGACTAGACAACAGAAATTCTTGATAATCATTTTAATCAGTTAATGTAGTTTATGTTGAGCTTTTTATCATCACTAGAGGTAAAATAATATACAGTAATAAACGGTTCCAAAAATAAATCATCAGGCCGATCATAATTAAAAATTTTAATGATACTGTCTTTTATCGCATTTTTAAATAATGCGATTTCAAATTTACTAGAAATCTTAATTTAATAGTTGAATTCATGAGTCAATTGAGGCTGGACCACTATTGAAAACATGGAAGCACTGAACGACCGTTTCGTCCTCAGACTCCTCAGGGGTGCGCACCCAGTATCCCGCCCTCGGGATTCGAGCTCAGGACTAATCAGTATCGTTGGCGAACGCTCAACCCCTGGACCACTGAGTCGGCACCTAACGGTGTTAATGTCTAGCTTCAATCAATCCAATAAATGACTCATGAATTCGACTATTAAATTACTATAATATCCACAAAACCTTTCGCTGGCTAGAAATCTTAAATTTTTAGTAATATATGGTTGATATGTCACTATAAATATGAAAACTAGAATCACAGAACTTCTCTTCAACAGGTTTACAGGATTATGAGAAAAAACGTTTTTCATCAAAATAAACTGTTTTATATCTAATTTTGCTATAGTTCAACAGCATTTGTTTAGAAAAAATGGAGCATAATTCCCTTTTAAACTATTCATTAAAAATCTTGAATTGCTCAAAAATTAAAGATAATAATTTTTATTAAAATGAAGATTTTAATTATTTCTATAATTGCTCATTATATAAATTACCCTTTTAAGGATAAGACCAAAATATTAACCAATGAAATTGTGCTGAAATATTCACTTAGTTATGTTTGTTTGAATCTTCTCATTGATGGTTATGACTGTAATTGATCAGTGTTTTATTGGCATATGTACATACTATGCGTCTTGCCTCGATATTGCCTTAATTCACCCCATTGCACAAGCAACTGGCTATAAGAACTTAGTAGCTGAGTGGATAACGCGATGGCGTTTGAAGCGAAAGGTACTGGGTTCGAGTCCCAGAGTGAACATCAACTCTGAGATGCAGGCACATCCAGCTGACGAGTCCCGAATAGGACGAAACGCGCGTCCTGGACTCCACTGCTAGTCACTATCTATCTTTGCTAATTGTGCTGAAATAGTTGACAAATATTAATGCATGTTTTGAAATAAACGAATTCATGATTTTTATACAGTAAATGTTTGTTTTTTGGACTCAATGAAAGTAAGTTATGTAAGGTGATAATGTTTAACTTTGGATTATTAACCTGATCAAGTTAAAGTGTAGAATATTTTTCATTGATCTATTTGGTATTTATTTTGTTTTTTTTAGTTAGAAATTGTTGAATTACTTGTAAATTTCGGTGCAGATATATTAGCTGAAACTAGAAATGGTGAAACAGTATTTGATATATGTGAAGATATTGAAATGCATACACGTTTAATTGAAATTAAACAAGAAGTAGAAAGAAAAAAATCTCAACAACAAGATTTACTTAATAAACCTGGTAAACCACGTGAATTAGTTCGTCGACGTAGTAGTACAAATCCAAGAAGGTAAACTGTCGAATAATAATGCATTATTCCATGTGTTCTTTTTTTCATTTCTTTATAATTATGGAATTTGTACATTCTTTTGTATCGTATCATGAAATGATTGTGAAGATTTATAGATAAATGTTATCAAGTGGTGTATTATTCACTGAGCTAAATGACTTGACTGCAAAGCCCAGGTCAAAAGCTCGTGTTGTGACTCCTTAAAAAGACCACCTGTTTCTGTTTGGGCACTATTTCAGTTCTTACACAAATCGAATGACGAAGTGTGGCGCCTATATATTTAGTGCCTCCTTGTATCAACGTTAATGTGTTTAAATAAATAAATTAAAGAAAATAAATTACACACAAACTTATTAATTTATAACATCTTTTGTTTCAAAATTAGGATCTTTGAAATTTTGTTTGGTCTGTTTAAGATTCTTTTCAAAAAAGAAAAGAAATTTTATTTACTATCTCATGTAAAAAATCTGAATTCAAGTAAACAGGGAAAGTTTTTATTTTATTTTATTTGAACACATAAATATTGGTACAGGGGGGCACCAGATATATATGCGCCACACAAAAAGTTGTCACTTCATTTAATCGTGTGAGGTCTATGATACTGTACGGGTGCCCAAACCGAAGCAGGTAGTTTTCTTAGAGGTCCACACCCCGAGCCTTTGCCTAAAGGTATGATCCACAAGGCAGTGGAGCATCGTGAGGAGATGCAATTCCATGATAGCTGGTGACCAACGGTAGCTTCATACGGCATTTGTTCCCTCAGGATCCTGGAGCCCATGTGCACCGTTGGTTTGGAATCAGGGTTTTCCAACTCCCCTAGGTAAACTTTCCGTGTCTACCGGTCCTTTTAAAGCGCCGGACATTCGCTTTTCGTCTTCTTAATTTCGTAAACAACAGTGATGCCACGAGAAGGCAGTAAGTAGTACTTCCCTGTCAGAGGCTGTATACGCGTGGCCATGTGAGAGTATTTCGAGAGAGAGGGCAAGCCCTCATCACTCTCGGCCGTACCAGGGCATTTGGGGTAATTTTTGACTTATAATTTACTTAAATAACGAAGAAATTATCGATCTTCAAAAAATATCTAAATGTTCGATTTGTTCCTTCTTTATCTTATCGAGTATTTATAAAACTACTCAATAATCCAAAGACTGTAATCATTCATAATAATCCAATAATCTGTAAGTAATAAGTAAACTGCATAGTAGAATAGAACGAAAATAAGATACTTCTTTTCAAGGGAAAATGTATAATTTACAATTTAAGAAGATAATAAAAAAATAATAAGTTATTATTATATATTTTAAATGATTTAAACAGGGTGTTTATTTTATCTTAGACAACATTAAACTAACTCAATATTTTTAAATAAATACGGCCACACGTATATAGCATCTGCAAGGGAAGTCCTAATCATTGCATTCTCGTGGCATTACTGTTTTTTACGAAATTGAAAGAACGAAAAGCGAATGTGCGACGCTTTAAACGAACCGGTGGATACAGAAAAACCACCTACGGGGTGGGAAAACCCTGATTCCAAACCAACAGTGTACATGGGCTCCAGTATCCTAGGGAACAAATGGCGTATGAGTCAATTGTTGGTCACCCGGCTACCATGGGACTGCATCTCCCCACGATGCTCCACGGCCTTGTGGATCAAATTTTTAGGTCGAAGGCTGGGGTGTGCCTCCCTATGAAAACCACCTGCTTCGATTTAGGGCAACTGGGCAGTATCACATTCCTCACACAAATCAAATGAGATTTGTGTGACGCATATATGTCTGGTTCTTCCTTGTACCAATATTTATGTGTTTAAATAATAATAATAATAAACCTACTGAACTGAAGTCCATCAACTTCCATTTTTAACTTTCGATATATATATATATTCGGCTATTTCCTCGTTGAAGAAATATTTTAGATATACTCTACGTTTTAATTTCTTTTCAGTGCATCTATTCGCCGAACAAGTATGAGAGAAAAGAAAATGATCTCTTGGAAGGAAGCTAAACAAGAGGCTGAAATGCGTGGTGTAGCTACAGCATCATCAGATGAAAAGAATACATCAAAACCTTTAAGTCCTATACTCAATGGATCTACAGATCATATTCTTGAAAAATCGACAACCTATCCAGAATCCCATGGACTTACTAGTCCTAAACCTATTTGTGGTTCAACACGTAGTTCACATCCCGGTCATTCCTCAAAATCTTCAATCCCACCAGTATCGTCTCCAATTTTAACTGGTGTATTAACGCATCACGGTAGCTCTTGGTCAGGCAAAGTACAACAAAATGACACTGTTACTGCAGTTAACGGTTCTACTCAATCACCTAATCTTCGCAATTCATCCAGAATGAAAGATAAAGAGGTTTGTTACTACGTTTCATTGTAAAACAGCTCCACTTTTAGTGAACATTCGTGTATACATAAAATTAATCAGTGTTTTTCAGGCAAAATAAGTTGAAAGACCGAATCATAGAACAATGTATTTGTAACATCTCCGAGTGATTCAGTCAATGATAGTGTTGTCATTTTTCCTTCCTATAAAATATAATATTTTTCAAAGGTTAAAACGGCGTGATGGATTTTTCAGAACTGTAGACTTGTTTACTGATCGACCATCCAGTCATTGACGACTTACCAAATCGCTTTTTAACGTTTATATGTGTTTGATATAGTTAGTAGGGTTTCTCATCTATACTCCGTCTGATTGTGAGTTAATCAAATATTTAACGTCATCAAGCTCATTATGTATTACCAAAGAAAAGTTGTATAAATTTTACTGGTATACAAATCTAAAGCCCAATGTTCCAATAACGTATTTCGACTTAGTCACCAAAATTACCTTCAGTTAAATAAATATACCATATAACATTGTCTATCTATTTAAATGACTAATATCATGTTCTACTCAATTAACGATACATTTAGCTTGACTGATATCAGAACAGCGCCAAACATATGATAAATTGCTATAAGCCACTATAGCCTCCGTAGTATATAAATTGATCTCATTTAATAAATCATCACAAGTACTGTAGTAGCTTCCAATTATTAACAACGGTTTATCAAATAGGATCTTTTCAGGCGCAGGCTCTTAACAGTCTTAGAGAAGCATTTTGCTCCATTAAGTCCAAGTTTATAAATCATTTTATAAAACTCTTCAAAAACTTTGTTATTGTATTAAACTAGATTTATAAAAAGAAAATTACTTTTAATTATAAGCTTATCTCACTATCTACTGCTGATTCATTTAAAATCAATAGAAATCATCACATTGTAACCGTTATTCTTACATAATCATCTCACTCTTGTCTTTCTTTAACTTTCAAATTCATTGCCGTTTCCTAACTATTCTTATTATTTACTATTGTTGTTTAGATCTTCCCATTGATGTTTTTAGGACTGCAACTGGTCAGTCTCTATTTGGCATATGTGCATACTGTGCGTATTGCCTCGATAAAGCCTAAATTCACAAGCATGGTAAGCAAAGATGGATAACGCGATGGCGTTTGGAGCGAAAGGTACTGGGTTCGAGTCTCAGAGTGAACATCAACTCTGAGATGCAGGTACATCCAGCTGACGAGTCCCGAATAGGATTCCACTGCTAGCCACTATTCATCTTTGCCTACTACTCTCATTATTTATTGAGATTAATTCTGAATAGCTTGTTGTTCCTTTTTCTAATTCAAGATGTGTTAATTTAAGCTTGTTTATTTCTTTATGTGAAAAACTAACAATCATTCATCTCAAATAAAAATGACTAGTTTCTTTACCGGTACTTTCACAAAATCATTAAGTTTCTATCATTGATTAATTCCGTTAGTCCCTTTTTAAAAAAACATCAATGTATTATTTAATAATTGAATTTATGTGTTGGTTTAAGCTAGGCCACTCTGGAAAACCTGGAAGCACTGGACAGCCGTTCCGTCCTAGTATAGGACTCCAGTGCAGTACGCATCCACGATCCCGCACGCGGGACTCGAACCTAGGGCCTTTGATCTCGAGCTCGAACACTTAAGCTCTAGACCACTGAGCCGGCATCCAACGCTGTCAATGTCTAACTTCAACCAATCCACAATATTGCGCGACCGTCCACCATTGTCTTCAGTGAGTAACTGCTTAACAACAGATACGGTTGAACTCCACTAGTCATGACTACTCACTAGAACTCCAACAAGCACATCTTGTAGCTAAACATTAGTGAGTATATGATGATTATTATCAGAATGAGGGTTTGTGGAAATTATAATCATTTCCAAGGTGCTCTAGCTTATGAATTCAACTATTATATTACTACAATTTTCACAAACCCTAATTGTTATAATATATTATTTATCGATTTGTTGCAACCGATTATTCCATGAGTTCACATTTTTATAACCGTTATTGGTAAACATTATTTAATTTGCTGATTATAAGATGAAGTTAATTACTCACATGAATTGATCTACCGGTAATAAACTACCGACAAATAATGTTTCAATGTTTTCTAACATGTTAAGAATCTACTCGTTAGTAAAATCCATAAAAAGATAAATTTCTAAATCGTGAATATGTGAAATTGCAATTTATTGAAATAATAACAGTCACATTTTGTCAATCATAACAATTAGGTGAATAGTAATTGATTTTAGACGAATAAGCGCCCAAATGACCTGGTACGGCCGAAAGTGGAGAGGGCTCGCCCTCTCTTTCTCGAAATGCTCTCACATGGCCACACGTATATAGCCTCTGACAGGGAAGTACTACTCACTGCCCACTCGTGACGGGAGTGTTGTTTACGAAATTGAGAGGACGAAAGCGAATGTCCGGCGCTCTAACCAGGTTGGTGTACAGGAGGGTGCACCTAGGGGAGTTGGAAAACCCTGATTCCAAACCAACGGTGCACATGGGCTCCAGTGTCCTGAGGGAACAAATGCCGTATGAACCTATCGTTGGTCACCGGCTACTATGGAACTGCATCTCCTCACGATGCTTCACTGTCTTGTGGATCAGACCTATAGGTCAAAGGTTCGGGGTATGGCCCCCTAAGAAAACCACCTGTTGCGGTTTGGGCACCCGTGCAGTATCGTAGCTCTCACACAAATCAGATGAGATTTGTGCGGCGCACATATATCTGGTGCCCCCCTGTACCAATATTTATATGTTTAAATAAAACAAAAAAATAAAATAGACGAATAAATTAGTAGAATTTTCGGTTTAGTTTTGTCATAAATCAATTCAAACAAAGTCAATGAAAAAATGACTGGAACGCTGGACAGTTACTTTCTTTTAGGATCCTATAACATTTAAATAAGTTTCATATTAGTACTCATTCTCTCTCAATTCTTAATGATTCCAAGACTTAAAACTGCCACTACTGATTAATGTTTTAAAAGGAACATAAATCCAAAGATGTTAAGTAAGAATTCTTTCGTTATAAAATCCTTTTCGGTTTTAGTCAAGATCAGTGCCCTCCATAAGTATTTATATTTAATTCTAAAATTAATGTACATTTTACTGTGACACTAGACAGCTATTCTTAAACTGGTTACTAGTAAACAATAGGAAATATTTTTGTTTAAATATGTCAGGGATTCTCAGTGAATTCGTTATATATATATATATACTAATAGTAATGATAGTTTATTTTATACTAGCCAATCGTGGAATTTTATCAATCAGATGCTAACTTGGTTACTGGTCAAAAGTGAATAAATATTATGGAGTAGTATCTCCAGTAGTCACAAATACCATGATATTCACTTCCCCGATTACTACCCTATATAATGCAGGTCCGAAGTATATGATGAATATCGGTACCTTTATGAGGACAGACAGGCTTCGCTATAGTATGAAAACTAGCACAAAACGTAAACTTAAAGCTACTCGATTCCACTCAACTACCTAACTCATTTATATAGTTCATGAAAATCGTTTGTAGCAGACTGATTAATTTAAACCCAGTTCTCTTCAAAGTTTTCATTCGTTAGTAAAACTCCTAAGAACTAAAGAGGAATTAATAGTCAGTAAGTTTAGTTTCAGAGTCCTGTTTATGAATAATACTGAAAATAAAACATCTGTCCAACAGCTCATTCATTATATTTTGTGTTACAGGAACTCACTATATATAATTTTTCATTCATGTACTATAATCTGAATAAATACCATCATTTTTCATTGTTTTCCTTTTATATTCAGCTTATAATTAAAATGATAAACCTGCCTTTTTACTACTGTTCTTTTGTTGATTACTTTCTTTAGGTCAACCTACCTAGGCGGAACAATACACAGTCCACATTAAATAACGACTCTGGTCCAATAGGTGTCGTAAGTCCATCTCCTATTGCAGCTCATCGTACAAGTCATGATAAAGAAGTAAGTTGATACTCTAATAAATAACTTATGCAGTGAATAATTTGAAGTTTCATCTAGCTTACTTGTATTCGATGCTACTTATATTCTGACCAGTCTTTGTGAAGATTAACTACTCAAACATTGTTGATATATTTATGAGATCACAAACCGTTCAAAACTTGATATCTCTTTTAGTATCTTTTGTACATTTCATAGATATAATTTATAGATTTGTCGTTTCGACTAGGAAATGATTAAGGGATATTAGTTTGTCGAAAAGCTCTCATTTTACACATTTTGAAAACGGAAACAGATAAAACTACAAGGAATTACTTTTGTTTATTTCTGTTCCAGAGAATTGTCAAAGTTCCGTCGGGTCCTGTACAAAATCCTGAAAATGTCGGCACATTGACACGACGACCTCAACAAACAGAATACGGGAGTAAATCTCCACAAATCAGCTCACCTGATCTATCACCTCAACATCATACTCTGAGTCCTCAACTACGTCAGGCAAAAAGTCGAACAATATCTGGCGTTGAAGGGTTATCTAATCCAGATCAGTCTGGCACTCACCTTAAAGCTAGAGTAAGTAACTATGATAACGCATACGCATCTTCTCTTCCTCGACGCGATAACAATAACCAGAAGACCGATTTAAACAATCAACCGGTTCGTGGAGAAAGACGTTCTTCCACAAGGAAGAAGAAACCAATATTATCAGAACAAAAACCACCAAGAAATGACAATAGAGAAACTGATATTTCAGTACATAATGCATATTGTGCACTACCATCTAACAATCAGTTTCAAAACAATCAACTTCGTAATGACGAAAATTATCCTGACAACCAAAATATTATTCTACGTTCTCCAAACATAAATCGCAATGATGTTAAACAAAACACTAGAAGTAGAATTACTTCAGGTCAACAAAGTGGTTCAGGACAAGTTGTACATGCCATAGCATCTCTACCAAGAAGGGAGTTAATCAATTATGGAGACGATTTAGGCTCCAGACCGAGTGGTAAATGTTGTATAATAATGTGATAAAAAAATACTTAATCATAACCACTCTTTTCATTTAAAGTCTATTATGCATTGTCTATTTTACATTCATGAAACTTCCCATATATACATATGTGTTCCTATAATTTACTAACTCAGTGATATATTTAAACAAAGTGTTTGACCCATTTCGTATAATCATAATCTTACTGAAACCATTAAAAATTGTACATATCTATTCAAATCCCATTTTTCCCTTCCTTGTTTTTACTTGATTCTCTTTTCACCAGTTTTTTTTTCTTTATCTATACAGTCACCAACTGAGTGAAAAAAAATAAACAGATTACTTCATCAAGTTCAAGTTTGATGTTTTTACAGTCTTAACTTACCAAATCAAAGTAGTATTTTCTAAGTTAAATGATTTTAATTTTATTCAATTACTTTTTTTAAAGTTAGAAAATGAAAAAAAAAACACTACTGAATTCAACAGAATGTCTTGTCCATGTATTTATGTGTATGAATGACTGATTTTGATCACACTGCTCTTTTATATGGTTTTTCAGTCATACCCAGAGTACTATCTGATAAATTTTATGTAATGTATAAGAAAAGCAAAAATTGATTAGGTTGTCTGTTTGCTTTTTTTTAAGTCCGATAAACCTATTTTTACTTGCTCGCACTTGGAACACGTTGTCTACCTTCAAACACGATAGCGTATTTGCTTCATTGTCTTCTTTTACTTCCACAAATACTACTATACTTCATAATAGTTAATAAACATTGAATAATTAAGGTGAGGTATTATATTCAGTGACCATTAAGTCGACTAGGTTTCGGTATTTTGAAGTGTAATAATTGGCTACATAAAAAAATATCGCCACTGAAAGATGTATATTAGTTAATTGGTGTCCTTTTGCCTTTAGCCGAAAGCGAAACAACCCATCAATTTACTACACACAATTACAATTAATTGTCTTGGAAGAGTTAATTATGTACATCCTGATTAACTAGTGTCTTATTTTATCTGTTAGGTCAATATTAGAGTTTATTAATGGTTATCGACAAAATGAAAATTCTTCAATTCGCTTAGCCTTTAGCCAAACAAATATTTTATAATTACACGCAAATAACAGAGAAAAAAGGAGCTGGTGATAGTTTCCGAAATAATACAGTATCGTTGAGTAATATCATCAATTTCGAATATACATGAAGTAGTGTTGAAAATTAGAGTTATAATCGTGTACATCATAACTTATTATTTATTTATTTATTTAAACACATATATATTGGTACAAAAGGGCACCAGGTACATATGCGCCACACAAAATAATGAAAGTAGGAAGAGAAGGGATGAAAAGATAAGGCGGGCTTAAATGTACAACCAGAAGACTCTTTCAGTTAGGAAAGTTAGAACCATTCTTTATGTAGAAAGTAAAAGAAGGTTGCAGCAGGATCGCCACTGGCTTCTATTCTGAGCCATATCTGGTAACGTCTCTAGCCACTGTGTTGCACCATCTCTCGGACCCCAACCAGGGAGTCGTGAAGGACCAACAGAAGCTAGCCCTTTGCAGCTCTCTTTCATGCCACGACACCATGTCATACACTGACCTCCTCTCCGCTTTCTCCAACCAGTCCCAGAGTCGGCAAATAATGCACGACGTGGAAGTCTCTGGGACGACATTCGTAAAACATGTCCAAGCTACCGAAGTCGGTGTTTCAAGATGGTGACACCAATTGAATTATCGTCTCTGCGCCCGAACACACGATGCCGAACCTCTGAATTACTAACATGATGTTGCCACTGAATGTCAGCAATCCTTCGGAGACAACGATGATCGAACACAGAGAGACGTCTAACATCCTCAACTCGGAGAGGCCAGGTTTCACAAGCATAGAGCAAAACTGCTCTCACCGACGCGTTGTAGATCCGACCTTTTACAGCCAGACTAACATCACGAAGGCGCCAAAGATGGCCCAGATTGGCATAAGCCGCTCTGGCTTTCATTATACGTGCATCAATCTCATCACTCACGCCACCACCAGCACTTATATAGCTACCTAGATACACGAACTTCTAAACTACTTCAATCTGCTCACCATCCAGGGTGAGTGCAGGATGAGAATCCTGCCAGTCTTGTAGGAGTACCTTGCACTTCGACGGTGCAAAGCACATGCCGTACCTGCGGACACTGATTGCCAACTGATTAAGTGCGGATTGCATGCCTTGTACATTATCGCACAGTAAAACAATATCATCCGCATACTCGAGGTCGAGAAGTCGTTCTCCAGGCAGCAGATCCACACCGCCATTACTTACATCCATCAGAGCTGTTTCCAGAATATAATCGATGGCAAAGTTGAAGAGGAATGGTGAGATTGGGCAACCCTGTCTAACCCCACTGCTCGAATGGAACAAGGAAGAAATGTGGTTGTATGCCTTCACTCTGCCTGAGGTGTTCGTATACAGGGCCTTTAAGATGTTAATGAACTTCTCAGGCACACCCTTCTTCAATAGACAATCCCAGAGAACAGTCCTGTCCAACGAATCGAAGGCCGCCCTGATATCAAGAAACACTACGATTGTTGGCCTGCGATAAGTATGACGGTGTTCTAACATTTGGCGGAGGGTGAAGATGTGATCAATGCATCCTCGACCAGAACGAAAACCAGCCTGTTCCTCGCGAGTCAATCGTTCTCGGGTTTTAAACAACCTACGAAGAATGACAGAAGCCAATAGTTTGGACGCAATCGAAAGTAGACTTATCCCCCGGTAGTTATTGCAGGAACAACGTGAACCCTTTTTAAAGATAGGGACGACTATTGACTCATTCCATGATGTTGGAACACTTTCTTGCTCCCAAACCTTTCCAAACAACGGAGTCAGTTCCTTAGTCAGAAAGTCACCACCATCTTTAAAAAGAGCCGGAGGTAAGTCATCTGGGCCAGGTGATTTATAACGTTTCAAGAGTTGGAGTTCCTTGAGGACTTCCGCCTCGTTTGGTGGATCAGTCGTCACCGGCCATGGGGGGCAGGACAAGCTGGTTGATGTTGCCGGAGCAGCAGGCCAGTTGAACTGCCCTTCGAAAAATTCCGCCCATCGTCAGAGACGTCGACAGATGTTAGTGATTGGCATCCCGTCATCCTCGTAGATTGTTTCACTCACACCAGACTTCTTGCTGCCAGTTGCTCGGATGAGTTGGAAGAGCTTCCGGCAGTTACCGGATGCAGATGCTGCTTCCATCTCATTAGCACGCTCCGACCACCAGGCTTCTCGGTCCTTACGCAAGCTTTGCCCAATTTCATTACGTAACAGCCTTTGTTTGTGGTCAAACTCACGGTCACCCGGAGTAGACCGACGGGCTTCCATCAGTTGTAAGGAGCCAGAAGAAACCCAGTGCTTGTAAGCGGGACGTTTCGCGAAGCCGCAAGCGGCTTTACTCGCCATTTTCATGGCGTCGTGAAGATGCAACCAATGCTCATCTATACTTTTCGGTGGGGTGGTAGCTAGCCTAGAGGCTAGCTCCGCTCGATACTTACTTGCAACAGAAGTTGCAGCCAGTTTACTAACATCGATCCGTTGGTGGTGGTCAATCCTTCGGCCACTGAAAAGTAAGGTAAGATTGGCGCAGACCAGGGCATGATCAGACCCCAGATAGGTACTCCAAAAGGAGCGGCAGTCTTGTACACAACCACGCCAGCGGTAGCTGATCGCGATGTGATCAATCTGAGTCCAGGCTTGGGATGCAGAGGGAGGACGCCAGGTGGCACACCGGCGATGACTGTGCCGGAAGTTAGTGCTGGCCAGAAACAGGTTGTGGTCTGTGCACAGTTGCAGCAAACGGTCCCCGTTATCTGTCCGGCGACCAACAAGACCCCATCGGCCACCTAGACGACTCTCTTCTGTGCCTAGACGCCCGACCTGTGCATTCAAGTCTCCGGCTAATACTACAATATCTGTCGAACGCGCTTTCTGGAGAAGAACTGTTAACTGGTGGTAAAACTCATCCTTGATTGCATCCGGGCTGCAATCTGTCGGGGCATAGGCGGAGATGACGAAAGGACAGCGTTTCTCACGCCGATTTCTTCTCACTTTGATGGAACTTTCTAATCTAACAGCACATAACCGACTGTTAATGGGGATCCAATCGATTAGTGCTGCCTCAGCCCTGGCGCTTAGTGCGACACCAACGCCAGCAAGACCAGACGAAGATGCCACAGGGTCCCCGGATAAGCGCACGTGGAACAAGCTCTTCGAGGCGACAGATGGAGAGCGGATTTGTAGTACTTCACTACATAGAATATTGCGTTTAAGCTTAAGAAAACTCATTTCAGGAGGTTGATCTAATTGATACGTTTTCTACAATCAAATGCAACTTAAAGATTTGTAGGCAATATTTGTTAGGGATTGATCCCAGCTAGGACACCGTTGAGAAACAAACAGCATTGAAATGATCTTAAGGATTTCGAGAATTCATCAAATTTTCCAGTGACCTTAGGAAATAACTATTCAGGATGCGTCTGATCACATCTGATTTAATGGTACGCTCAAAATGGTGATGTTTAATATTATCAAGATTTGGATTTTCCGGATATAATGCATTTTCCGGCACAAACGAAGTTACACAACTTGACAGTAGCAATAAAATCGCTATTAAATGGTATTTTCAAAAGACGTTAGACGATAAAAAACTCTCATTGGTTTATCAAAAGAATCTAGCATTGGCCATACACAAGCATCACTGTTAATTTATTAAAAAATGCCAGTAAATTTTAAGCTTTTAGATCTATACAGTTGTTACCGATTAAATAAATTTAAACTGCAAAGCACTGAACAGATATTTATTCAATCATCATGGTTTAAAGTACGTAAATCAATTTTTTAGCGCAGTCAAACACCATTTTAATATCACAATTGATTGATCACTGGGTGGTGATCAATGTCATGCGTGTCAAGTCCTTCTTAGTGCTGGTCGAATGCTATCGATCAGGGTGCAATGTGGCCACTAGTCTAAGTGGCTCGACACTGCGTGCACTATATATTGAGATAAGATGGTGGTTGGAGGTGGTCAACAGGAAACCCTGGACCCGGGTTTCGTGCTACTTGGCACTCGTCAGCAGGAGGAGGTCGGTCGCGGCCCGAATAGCTCAGTGGTAACGTCTCTGACTGTGAAGCTGAGTGACACGGGATCGAATCCATCCCTCAAGATTACAGGTACACCTTGCTGGCGAGTGCCAAGTAGCACGAAACCCGGGTCCAGGGTTTCCTGTTGACCACCTCTAACCACCACCTTATCATTTTAATATACACTGTCCACTTTGTACAAGCATCAGATAATAATCGATTGTATTCTATTTTTTGCTGACAAGCATATGGACAATTTTCATTAAATTTTAACTTGATCACAAAGCACAATTATGTCGTTTTACAGTATTTCACTAACTATTTGACAATACACCAATAAATCTTACATATAACACTTCTCACAAAAAAATAATAATACTTAAACTGGAATTGTCAAATATCTCGATGAAATTGTTACTTTAATCCTACCCCAGTAGTTTCCATACATTGGTTTTTCTTAATCTTCCATATTCAGATCAAAATATGACGTCACAATATAATTGACTTATAGTGAAATTAATAATTCTCATCACAAGTACAACTGAATAAATAAATGAGAATACATAAATTTGAAAATAGAAATGATAGTTCTCTTTAAATAACCATCCAAACTGTAACTTCAAATTTTGAATTCGTTTTACTATACAATTAATGAGCCGTATTTTACTCAGGAGGCCTGCTAGAATATCTGGGCTACCTATTCCTCTCATCTAGATATTTCAACAAGTTATGTGTTTCTTTAGCTTGTTTTAACACATCATTATGTCTAATAGTCGCATAGCCTATTCAGGCGCGTTCATGAAAAGTTCACAACCTTTCATTGTACATATTACAAAAAAGTACAATGAGAGGCATTGTAGTGACTGGCAATAAGTAATATGAATATTATTCAGATGTCGATGCCATAACATCTAACTGATAATCATTCATTATTTACCATCAGGATCGATCAACAAATAACAAAAGTAAATTTGTCGAAATACTTTGTGCTTAGAATTCTATATTGTACCAAAGATAGAATATTGAATAAAGCCATTAAAAATAATAATATTGATAATAAAAAATTATTTTCTTATTATTATTTATATTTTAAAAGCTATAAATGGAGATTATTGTTTTAAGCTAAAAAAAAATAAGAATCATTTATTGAAAAAAAATAAAAACTGAGAACCTAATAAATGTTGTTTTTCGAAAAGGAAAAACAAAAAACACCTACTAGTCATAAGTAAACTAGAAAAAGGATTTCCTTTAAGCTTTCATATATCTGTTTACTAGAGTAAAAGAATATTTTCATTTATCATTTGAATATTAATGAAAGTTATTTATTCATTTATTGAAAATATTAGATTCATTGCCTAGATTTTAAAGCCCACAAATGCCCTGGTACGGCCAAGAGTGACGAGAAACCGCTCTCCCTCTCGAAATGCGATCATATGACCAGCGAATATATAGCCTCTGCCTGGGAAGTCCTACTCACTGCCTTCTCGTGGCACTGGTGTTGTTTACGAAATTGAGAGGACGAAAAGCGAATGTCTGGCGCTTTAACCGGGTTGGTGGACAAGGCGAGTCATCCTAGGGGAGTTGGAAAACCCTCATTCCAAACCAATGGTGCGCATCGGTTGCCTCCAGAGCGAACAGATGGCGTATGAGTCAATCGTTGGTCACCGACTACCATGGGACTGCATCACCTCAAGATGCTCCACTGCCTTATGTATAAGATCTTTAGGTCAAAGGCTCGGGGTGTGCCCACCTAAGAAAACCACCTGTTTCAGTTTGGGCAGCCGGGCAGTATCACAGCCCTCACACAAATCAAATGCGATTTGTGCGGCGCATATGTATCTGGTGCCCCTTTGTAAGAATATTTGTGTTTAAATAAATAAATAGATTTTAATTTAACAAAATATACCAAAATAATATCAATGAACAAATACTATAACAGTATTAAAAATGATTGCCATATGAATTAAACAAAGAATAAACGACAATATTTGTAAAATATGATAACTTCATTGTATTTTGTTGCTTATTCTTTACAAGCTGTTATGCTCCCATAACGATAGTGAATGGTGACTTTGAGATCCATTTATGGACCAATATTATGCATATATTTTTTATCGCATAATTGCTAAATAACTAAACTATTCATATTCATGTCCCCTTTATCATCAGCTTTATTTTGAACTATGGACTATTGTTATACGATTTACCACTCATGAATTACACTCAGTCTTTTGATTACCGTTCCCCTTATTCACAGCCACATTTGGCTAAATCTTGTACAAATGTCATTTCCTACTTTATTGGTACGATGCGGTCTGTTTGATTGGTATATAAACTCAGTATGTTTGAAATATAATTATTCATACAACGGAGGCTGTTCTGGACTTAACTGATTGGGCTAGGCAGTAGCAGGACCGATACGTACTCTAGACTGCTCGTACGGTTTTCGTGTCACTATTCCAATCGATAATTCACTGATCTCTGATTGGAGGTTTTATCACGTCATACGTTAACAGAGCATCCACTCGGTCGCAAGTTGAAACACAAACTAATACGTTTAGTTACTTCTAATTGATAATATAATATTAACATTTAATTACCAATCAATAATAAGTTGTGTGTAGAATGAAAGAAGTTCAGAATTAAAATTTTACAAAGGGGAATTATTTTGTAATAAGTTGAAATAATAAGATTTTTAGAACGGATGAGGCCAAATCACTAAAGTAATGATTACGTTTAGTTAAATAACGGGGTCATAATGTCATCAAAGTAGTCAAGGGTTAACTATTGACTCTTGAATACAATGATCACGCTTAAGCCTTATAACTGTTACAGCTTCTGCGAATTAAAGGAAAGTTGAACCGAACTGATTATTGAAGAATTCATCAGATCCACATTATGCCCAGTTTCTAGTAGGTGGCGTACTACTGAACTCTGCAAGAATCTTTCTCCTAGAAGGCGTAGGAGTTTTGGAATATGCTCATCAAAACGAGTAGATTCCGTCTTTCTATCATTCCAATGTACATGCTTCTGAGAATACATATAAACTGATATACATATTTGAAGGTAACATATAAGATGCTTTTGTCACTAACTGCTAGAATGAGTTGTGTAGGTAAGTGTGCAAACTATTTGGTTGAGATCCGTGCGATTATTGTAACCAAAAGTTGGAGATGCTGAACAGAATGGCTCAAAAGCGGTCGCAATAGCGTAGTTACATTCATTATTTATTTACCCCTAAATCTCGAGTTTTAAGATTATTTTCTTTCTACTGGAACAATTTTATCTACTACTACATATACTTTTACTACTACTTTGGGATTTTTCTTTATAGATTTATCTTTTTGTGCTAATATGCTCCGGTATTTTGAACATATGTGCCAAGTTTTTCATTCCTTATGACTAACTAGTAAAGAAATAAACACTTCGTAAACGTCACTTTACCAAGTAGGTGGATATACGAAATAAATAATGATTACAATTACTAATCGTTACCATAGCTTGAGTTTCATACAGTAAAGAATCATTAATACAAACACCAGAAACACAATTACAAAAGATAAAACAAAAACCCGCAAAATTGAACATTTTGCAAACAAAGCACCAATCACTTTCAGCAAATAAGAATCAAAAATCAGCTTTTCCTATATTTCCATTTCACCATCTTTTTAAACAATTTTTTTTAAATTCAGGTTCTATTTTGTACAGTTTATCAAGGGAGAGAAAAAAAAGAAGATAAACACGTTTACAAAGTGTATTCATTTTAATCATCTGTATTTTTACGAATTGTTTCACGGACAGCACTGATTAAAATTTCCAATTCTTCTTCTGTTTGAGGCTCACGAGATAATGTATCGGCGTCAGAACCTTTTATGATTTTTTTCAATATGAAAATATGAAATGAATTAGTAAAGTATCGAATTGTCAATATACTGATGATTTTAATGTAATTTTCACAAGTAAACTATCAAATTTTATAAGTTGAAATGAAAACAATAATTCTACGGTACCTGATAGTAGCTTCTTATTGTTAATAACTTGATAAAAATGGAACATGTGGAGTAAAACTGACAACACAAAAGCCAGATGTTGGGAAGAATATCGTCAATTTACTAATATATCAGATTTCTAATAAGTAAATAGTCCATTTTATTATGAAGACTAGACTGAATGTGAATATTTATTATTCTTTTAAATGAACAATTGAGAACTGACAAACCCCGTAAAAATATTACAACTTTGTTTTGAACAAAACCTTTTCTTGCATGGCTACGAATAGTTTTTGGTAAGAACATAAAAAACCTCAAAAGTTTATCAAATGGTATAGTGTCTAATTGAGACAATAGACAGTTTCAAGGGTGAAATAGAAGATTTTTTAAATTTAAGTCTATCAAATAAAATGCTCGATCTATTGTAAGCGAGATACTAATTTAACTTATAAATACTAAAAAGTATAATTAAATCATTTTCAATTCTTTATGTCTGTAGTGACCGTGAGAAATATCGAAAGGTATCCGTGAGTATGACAGAATGCTGAGAAACGATAGGGTTAGAAATCAACATTTTAGTTTATTGATCAATGAGGTGGAAACTATTCTAATTTAGATTTATCCTGTAGCATGATAAAAATAACCTTCTTGAACAATTTACACTGTTACTGGACCAACCAGCAAAAACCATTTAATTACTTATACATCGCAATTTTAGGTCGTTTAGAGACGTATGTAAACTAAGCAAACTTTTAATTCTTCATAGCCACAGGCCAGGATTTGTCTTCCGATATTTCTAGGGTCCATGATACAAGATTCTGGGAAGTAATCATATTTCCTGTTTATTTGTGTAATATTAGCATAAATCCATCCTTAATATGGTGTTCAGTTTGCTTAATTAAATCATTACTAATAGAAAATTTGCATTATTTTCGAGTAAACTCCGAGTTAGCCCGTCAACCAGTCAAAACGAGTGTATGACTCGGTATACATATGGATTAAAGTTACCACAAATAAACTATGAAATAAATCCACATTTCTATTTATTATTTAAAATTTCTTACAAAATAGATTAATTAAGTGTAGACGCGCTGGTGTACAACATAATAAGTAAAATATATTGTATAACAACGAATAGTACTACTAACTCGTTCATTTCGCAGCTGTATGCATGTAACTTCAAATTGATGACAATGAGGTTGAAAATCATGCTTATAAATTCGAAAGACAATCAAAGCAGGTCATTTCGAGTACTTTTTTATAACTTCATCAAAACTTTAAAATGTTACATTACCATCTAAAAAGTAATTTGCCAAACTTATAAAAATAATAATAGCTTGTTTTGAACGAATCTCGTTGCACATACCTCTTAATCTGAAGCGTTCCTCTTCATCTTTATTATATAATTTAATGATAGCATTTTTCCAAATATTGAATTCAGTTAATAGTTTTTGTCGTTTCTCAAGTAATTCTCTGCTAGCCTTTGAAGCAAGCATACGATCTTCGTTGGCTAACTGTGAATTATATTTTGACATATTCTTTTTAATAGCCTGTAACACATAATATGTGTTAAACAACAAAGAAAGAAGTACCCAATGAAATTTAGTCAATTGGTTTCAAAAAAAAGAAAAAAACAAGTGTTAAATACTTGTATGTGATGCCCAAGATAAAAATCTTCGCCGTTGATTTATTAATAAAGAATTGAATTGCAACAAACCAATGATAATGATCCAACTAGATCACCAGGTCCAGTTTCATATGATTTACGAAAGTAGAAGACATGCGTCAGCTACAAGTATTCTATTACAAGTGCTTTCGAACCATCTTCTGGATACGGTTCGATTGCCAAGTGGATTATTTTTAGGTTAATTGTATGATCTGAGATGAAAATGCTAAATTAAATGACCAAATAACAAATACTCGCTGCTTTAGATGATTTTGACATGTAGTAAGCACATTCAGTTACTGTCTATCTACACTAACATGCAATGGTAAACAACGATAAAGTATTTGTTCATGCAGTCATCGACAACTAGAGTATGTCACGATAGAAGATGCAGATTTTCTGGCGGGAATCTATGGGATAATGATAATCAGCAACTTAAGACGTTTTCAGGGACAACTGAAACTTGGTCATATTGAAGCAAGATACGTTTGGTGATCTTTCTAATAGTGAACATGACATTAGTTTACACTTTATACTCTCCAACAACATTCTTTTCTCTTGAAATATATCTTTCATGACCAAATCTTTATTATAGGACAAATTACATTTACTTCTCCTCATCTGCTTCTCGTTTTGCTTCTTTCCTTTTTTATTGTGCTGATGAGTATTGCATGTACATTCGTGTTATGTTTTGTCCCATGTTATCCATATTTAACTGAACTTCATAAACAATAAAAGACTAACTTTTTTAACAGACAGAATCTAAGAAATGCGATTCTTTCATCGACATTAAACTTTCACATATAACTATATTAAATACTACTACACTACATTATTATTCACAAGATACTGGCTGACATACTGATTTCCGTACAACAGTCAGCCTCTTCTTGTCTAATTTGTGGTTCTCTAGCCACATTGAAAAGAAAAAAAACCACATTTTAATTATATCTAACATACTTGAAGCTGTTCGGCGCTGAGTAGTGTAGGTGGTCGTGGTCTCCAGGTGAAAGTACGAATACCACGCAAGTTCATTTTATACAAGCAACGACCCACACAATTCCAAAACCATATTGCATTATCATTCTTCTGATAGAAACTACTTACTGTTGTCGCTATGTACCTCCCTGTAGGATCCCATTGTATATCACTAACAGTTGGATGTTCTCCCTTAGCTAAAATCTGACCATCATTTGCTGAAATGAATTCCAGTATCCCATCAGCACTAAATTTTTAAAAAATATGTCCAACAATTAAAAATAAACCATATACAACCCAAGTTATGACTTGTTAAAAATAACTGAAAATCAAAAACTGGAAAGTGTCTCAGTAAGTTAACAGATGGAAGGCATTCGTTATACCATAACCAAAAACATTTACAATGAATCATGGCACAAACTCATATACAGCACTTCCTAGATTATAACATAAGAATTGTAGCTAAATTCACTGCATTGTGGTAAAGCCCATAAGCTTTCAGTTGGAAGAAACACTGAAACCAACACAAATGTCTTTTATATAAAGAACAAAGTGTTGGAAGGCAAAGGGGTTGATGCTTGAAATGATGGTATTTGAGGTTACGATAGGACTTCAATTATTGATGCAGAAATTAACAATCTTGTCTGCGGCAGAAATACCAGTAAACTGGATAATCAACTAGGTTTTCATTTGACCTATGGTAGAACAACTATAAATCGTAAAAATCGTATGTTTCTAAGACCACCCTATATATCCTATATAATTATATAACTATGTCTTTTAATTTATCGTATGAATAAAGATCAACCGACATTCAAACCCATAAATTTAGTGTTTCAATAATTTCCCAATACGATCTCGCATATTAATTCGTTACGCAATATTAAAACTTCTATTTTGTTTCCCAATTTTATTTCATGGGAATGGAAGAACACGAATATGACTGCGTTGTCAATTGTTCACTTGAGAACTGACAGTAAGTGTAGAAATTTAGCAGATTTAAGTAATGTAAACAGTTACCATTTTGGCCACATCGCATGCTTTAGAATTACCACCAATCGATCAGCACCCTATTCACCATTACAACAACTATATCATGCTGATTATAACAAGTAATAAATCTAGATGATCTAATTAATAAACAACCAGTTACATCACTTTTGTTACCTTATATATATATATATATATATATATATATATATATATATATATATATATATATATATATATATATATATATAGCCTATTCCAGATGCTCGATGAAAATACCTTTCTTCGATAAATTGATTAACTCCATAGGATTTTAACAATAACTTGTATTTACCTTCTTAAACCTGCTGCTACAATAATGCCACCCTTAGATGACCAACGAAGATCATTGGTTCGAGGTGAGGCAAGATCAAGAACAGTAACTTCACGAACATTAGTTCCACGAGATACATCATAAATGGCTATTGACAATTTTCCACTTGTTACAGATTGTAAGAAAGCGAAACGTGTACCACAAGGTTCCCATTGAAAATTCGATACAGTGCCTTTAACTTCCAGCTGATCAACAGGATATAATTTTTCTCTTAAACGAACTATTTCAAAATTGGTGTAGGTACCCTGATAGTAAAAGAAAAACGAATTAGAGCATATCAAATATCAATTAGAAAACTAAACACTCATCCATATATATATTGGTAAATCAACAAAGATGACACAAATATTCATGTCTGATATGCAATCAAACACTTACTGCAATTGTAGTTACATTATCGTATTCTGCTTTAAAAACTCAAACATGTATATGGTCATCTGTTAAAACATTATTCTACAGGCATGTTGCTAACAGTTAAGATATTTAGTAAGGTGAAAAAGTAGTTAATAAATATTTTTATGGATTATTATCACTGAAACAAATGTTCATCAAAGTTTAAATAATTAGTTTGACGGGATTAGGGGGCAGAGTAAGTGAAAGACGTTCAATATGAAATTTTAAAACGGCTGAGACTGGGGAGAGTCCGTTCTTTCTTTCGAAATGCTCTCATATGACCAGCGAATATATAGCCTCTGCCTGGGAAGTCCTACTCACTGCCTTCTCGTGGCACTGGTGTTGTTTACGAAATTGAGAGTACGAAAAGCGAATGTCTGACGCTTTAACCGGGTTGGTGGACAAGGCGAGTCATCCTAGGGGAGTTGGAAAACCCTCATTCCAAACCAATGGTGCACATGGGCTCCAGTATCCTGAGGGAACAAATGGCGTACGAATCAATCGTTGATCACCGGCTACCATGGGACTGTATCTCCTCACGATGCTCCACTGCCTTGTGGATCAGATCTTTAGGTCAAAGGCTGCGGGTGTGGGCCTCTAAGAAATCCACCTGCTTGAGTTTGGGCACCTGGACAGTATCACAGCTCTCAAGCAAATCGAATGAGATTTGTGCGGCGCATATGTATCTGATTCTTCCTTGTACCAATATTTATGTGTTTAAATAAAATAAAATCTGGAGAAACGTTAGAATTATTTTGAACATGGTTTGCATGTTTAATGTTTTATTATCACCTATTCCAAAATCAGATTAGCAATATTTAGCATTTTAGAATAAAAAGTCAGTCACTGAATTTCACAATGAAACTTAATCAATAAACAGGTTTCAATTAGAAGACAGTAAACTAATGGTGAAAAGTTAAAAGAACATCGACATTATGGACATGATTCAGACCTCCATGCTTGTTAAAATCTGTTGATAACTAACAACAGCTTTCCAAACACTTACTTACAAAATGTATAAGATAAAAATTCTTTTAATAAGCATTAATTTGTCGCTTGATCATGAGTTGGACAAGCGCAGCAAGTTTATTTAACAAGTTTATTTAAATTTGAAATCATGGTTTCCGCCTAAAACTCAAGAAATACCAGCTTTATTTACGATCAGTTAAGTTCATATTTGATAATTGAACAATTTACTGTAAAAACACTAGAGCTATATATATATATATATATATATATATATATATATATATATATATGCTGTGTAAGCAGTGGAAGTCCATTTTACAATAAATCTACCTTCCTTTCGAAACCTACTTATGGACCAAATACAACTACTAAAGTTTTATCATGTATCGTTAGTTTATACTGGACACGGATGATTCATAGAACAGGTATCAAATCTATCTTATAAGTGGACTCAAAATTACTCTTAACTATTTAACAAGAACTCACATCAACTATATCACTATCCTCGGCAGCCGCAGTAAATGTATTCTTCAGCGCCTTTTTTTTCAAATACTGAGGATAAGGCCGAGAAATAATCCAAGATAACACGAATCAGTGCTTTATCAGTGTTGCAGTGTTTTTTTTTGGTCAAATGGTGTAATAGTTGTGTCACATACGAGTGACCATTTTAACGTGAAAAATAAAAACGAGACTTTGTTTGAATCCATGAAATTCGAAGTGCTTGAGATTCCAAATTTAAGTAACTAATATGCAGTAAATAAATCTAATGAGACAGAAAATGGATGCATGGTATGTAGGTGAGGACAACTGTCATATTAACCAGAATAAAAATCATTTCCAACATTCAAAACCTACCACATATTTCACTTGCTTTTCACCGTCCAACTTCTTTTTTGCACACCTTAATACTTGAACAGCTAAAAAGTCACCTTGTTCATGCCATAGAAGACTGATTTCAGCTACGGAAAATAAATTTTTTGTGCATAGTTCCTGGCGACTTGGTACTTCCATAAGAACAACTCTAAAGTAATAATTAATGACAAATTAAATCAGTGAATAAAAGTAATACCGGATTCATTTACTTGTTTACATCCATTGTAATTTTAAATAAGTAACACAGCTTGAAAAAAAATTTAAGGGCATTTTATTCTGATGTAATGATGATTCGACAGACATTCTAATTGTCTTACATATACTATAACATAATTACTGCTTATAGGTTTACAAATATAACAGAAGTATAAAACTAAAGGCATATCTTTTGACTAAAAAATATCAGAGCTGAAGGATCTCGAAAGATCTTAAGTTGGGAAAAATAACCATTTAAGACTCACTTCGTTTTTCAAGTGAAGTGGATTCATGAAAAACATCTATCGTACAATTAATAAATAACACCAAAACTACCAAATAAATAAGTGAAGGATTGATGAAAAAATTTAAAATTATATTGATGAATATAACCCTAGCACAGAAATTGTGAAAATCAAAATATGTTCGTAACGGATAAGTTAAATCAGTACATACCTCGCTGGAGTATTATCAGATTCAGGCACCCAGTAGGCTAGAATATTATCAGAAGGTGACCAAGAAAAATCGCGAATATTGCCCCCAAGTTTCTTTTTATCCAAAAGTCTAAAATTGCTAGCACAGTAAATACTAATGACACCGTCTCGCAAGCATGCAAAATATTCATCCTTTGGCGACCATTTGAAGGCCGGATGAAAATCGATTGGAACGGAAAACTCTCGACGACTAACACAGTGCTTCACATCCCACACGATTGCGTCTGCACGTTCATCGGTGGGAAAGTTGGGGCTTGGACTCAAGGTTATCATAAATCTATCAGGTAAATATGAAAATTAGACAAAATTATAGTAACTGAATAATAATTAATAGACAAACTTAGAAGTTTACTCTATATTTTTAAGACAAGAATTGTTACTTTTTTATTTCACAGAGTACTAAACTTTTAAAAATCTATCACTCATCTCCTAACGACAGCAGAAAAGATGAGACTGATCCTAAAAAAGGCTGTAGTTCATCGTGGAGAGATGCCCATAAGAACACCTGATTATACTAATGAAGAACCTGAACGCCGAGGTCGAGGTAGTCACCACTGGGTATGAACCCAGAATGAGGCGCGAAAGGCAGGACAAAGGAACAAGAATAGTGAGATCGGTAAATCTATATTCTTTTAACAACATGATCATAGGTGGGAGCATTGTCCCCCAAAAATACATATACAAAGTTACATGGGTTTCACGGGATCACACTACAGAAAACCAGATTGATCAAACCTGCGCCAATAAAAGATTTAGGTCTTTGGAAAACGAAAGAGCAAAGAAGGAACCCGAGGGAGCTCCAAAACACCACCTTGTAGTTTCCAGGCTACAACGAAGTTTAATAAATACTGAATGATTGGACGAGCAGCCCTACAAAAGTGAGATAGAGCCTTCAGTCGAGAAATTAAAGAGCTTAATGAGTTCAACTTAACTCTCAACAACAATTCTCAAGTTTTACAAGATCTACTGGTGCAAGGAACCACTATGGAAAACAACTGGGAATGAACTAGAAAATCAAAAACTTCAACATGGGCCCTAAGAAACACTAGGACAAAGATGGGTCGCTTAGACACCCTGGGAAGGATTAAAGGAAAGAGAAACAACGGTCAGAAACAACTGAATAATGGCACATGTTGAATGTACAGAAGTAAACAAAAGGGTGAAGAGCATTAGAGGTGACAAGTGGAAGTATGTAGAAGATCTAGCAACTACAGAAGAAAAAGCATAAGAAAAAGATATGAAATAACCAAATAATGGAACCAAGGAGTTTGCAGGAAAATATGGTAAGGCAGAGCATAACCAGACAGCATTTCGGCTGAAGCACTGAAGTCGAATATATAGATAACTAAAAAGACGTTTCATGTGCTTTTTAGAAAGAATTAGCAGGAAGAAGTACCAAAAATCAGGAAAGGATACCTCAACAAAATACTGAGGAAGGGTCTTAATAAACCTGAGGACTGCAAAAAGATTATGGTGCTTTCGATATAAAGCAAGGGTATTCTTAGAATGAGATATTTAGTAAACTTTGAGATCAACAAGATGACTTTCGTAAAGATCGATTGTGCACCAACCAAACTGCGACATTGTAGAACATTGCTTAACAATCAGTTGAGTGGAACACATCGCTATAATCACCATCCTTGACTATGAGAAAGTAGACAATAGCGTAGATAGGAACTGGAGACAGGCATCGAGGTCTTAAATAGCACTTAGAAACGACTGGGAAGGGGAGTTCAGGGCATAATTGGTTGGATATCCCTGGAAGGCGGCCTATTCCCCAAGGGTAATGGGCTTAAGGAATGAGAACACTTGTGTATAAACGTCAAGAAGTACAGTGACGTTCAATTGCTTTTTTAAACAGGCCGCTGCTTGACTATCTGGGCTATCTGTTCCTGCCGTCTGGATACTTCAAGTTATCTGTTTTCTTGTTTGTTTTAACACATCATCATGCCTATTAGTCACAAAGCCTATTCAGGTGCGTTTGTGAAAAGTTTACGACCTTTCTCTATATAAGTTGCAAAATAGCCCAATCAGAGACATCGTGGTTGCTGGCAATGTGTCGAAAAGAATATACATTACTGAGATGTCGACTCATGAACTGCTAACATCCAACTGGCGACCACCCAATATTTATCGTCAATATTGATCAAGGAATAAAAAACGAAACTTGTTGAAATACTTTGTGCTGAGAATTTTATATTGTACCAAAATATAATATTGAATAAAGCCAATAAAGTAAAATAATGATGGTAATAACAATATTAATAATAATAATAATAATAATAATAATAATTTAGTTCGAAATTAACTGTGTAGATAAGCTCAATTTACTTTAGGATATAAATACAGCCCTAAACAACGATTTTTTTTGGAAATGAGACACCTATACCTTTTCTTACTTAACATGGAAAAATGTCCATAAAACATAAGACAACCTTTGTTGACCTAATCGCACTTTTTAAAAATAATCCTTAAGACAGACGAGTTACTCGACTGAAATCTTAACCTCAGCCAAACGCTTATATATTATTGATCAAATAGACCTTACTAGTTACCAGGATTATTAACAAAGTTCCATGTCCACCGTCCAGTCCTCCAAGACTAACTTTTATGCAGATCTTGATCAATACACATTTACACTGCTGCCAGAAAACTTGACTAAAGGAAGGAATAAAATGAAGCTGGATTCCGAAACCAGTCACAGATACAAGCAAGCACTTGGCTAACATCAAAGCACACAACAATAGGTATGGAATATGAATAAGAATATCAACTTACTGTTCCATAGGTGAAAACTCGATTGTTTTGACACCTGAATGAGGAAAACGACCGATTCTTTGGAACTTCTCACCGCCCCATAAAATAACACCCAAAGAATGCATTGTTGCCAAGTAAGTCCCTCTGGGTGACCATCGCATCCACCCATCAGTCCAATGAGCACGTTCTTCAGCCACGACTGGTTCGACAGCAGTATGCCAGTAAACAGATCCAGTTTCGCCATCATTGTAGACAACAGCAAACTGGTCCCGACAAAACTCATTCAACAACCAGCTCTTCAAATTACCCTAAAATTGATCTCTATAAGTTAACAGAATGCGACTCACTAAATCCTTATATTCTTGTTTGGGTGGAGGTACCCATTCAGTTGGAACATTTGTTACATGTTCGAAATCTGACAATAAAGTAACCTGGAAAGTGTGATTCTTGTCCAGAGGAACATTATTCATGGTTCGAACAGCTTGTGATGCTGCCTTTCCGTTTTCATAGGTAATGAAAATATACCCTTTTGTTTGTTTTTCATTATCCAGAGGGAATTCATGATCTACTATCGGGCCAATTTTCGAAAATTTATCTAGCAAAAACTTTTTAAGCAGCTCGAATTTAGCTGGGCCAACAACAGGACATCCATCCACTATAACTGTTGAACCCAAGTGGTCTTCAACTTTGGGTTTCTGTTCCAGAATATCAGGAATAATTTCTGAAGACGACAAATATTCAACCAAAAGAAAAATAGTTGAACATAGTGTTTAAAATTAAATACTTTGAAACGTATTGAACCGATGGAACCATGAACATGCACCTAAGTCTGGTACTGTTAATACCTCTACTGTTCTGCAGCTCGGCCCGACAACATCTATTTTGTTCTAATGGGATATGGCAATGAAATTGATGCACACACGTACCGAGTTTTACGTTGTGACTGGCTCACTACGTTACGTGATATCGGCAGATTGTACAAACATACTCATTTGGAATATTTGCTAAACTGTGAGCGTGGTTAATCTATCAATTTTAATGATATTATATATATTAGCCACTAAGCCCACCGCTCCATTAAAATTTGACTCTATAAAAATTTTATTAATCAATGAAGCCACGGAACTAGTGTCAAGTACTATTCAAGTACTTTTAAACAGCACTGACAGTCCTTCCTTAGCGCACCACAGGGTAAGATTTCTTCACTTTCCTAAAATGTTCTTATATGATTGTCCATTTATAGCTTTCCATGGAAATCCTACTAAGTTTTTACATATTGGGGTCTTTTAAAAAGTTATGGGATAGAGCCAGAAGTCTTCAACGTAAGCTGAGCGGGCAGATATGGAGGGTCAACGTAAGAGAATTTGAAATGCCTGATTCCAGACTAGTGAGGCTATATACGCGTGGCCATGTGAGAGCATTTCGAAAGGGAGGGCGAACTCCCCACTCAGCCGTACCAGGGCATTTGGGGTCTAAATACAAATAAAACCCGAACGAAAGGACTTGCAAACAACACTGGCAAGACAGAATATGTCAATAGTCTACCTGTAGACCAATACTGTCGATCATTAAGGTATCTTTATTCATCGCACGAATGACGTCAAATGAATATTTCCACAAGTTAAAACACACAATATACTGACATTGCACTAAACACGTATTTACAGTAAGTTCCGACTAGCCAAGCCAGTGATCTAATTAATATTTCTGTACTTGGGCTGAATTACCTAACAGTATGACCGCAAAATAGGTAAATTCTCCAACAAATACACTGAAACATTACCGTTAACATTTTACTTCACAGTACCACTAAAGACAACTTGAAAGGTCTGACTCTGTACGACTTAAATGTGACGGGTGGTGGAGAAACATAGTATGGTTGTACAAATTTAGTTAATAATACAATACTAACAAGTACATAATCGTAATTTTAGGAAATATGAAATACAAAATATGGATCAGCACTAATGAATGTTTCGAGTAATTTTGTTTGGAGTACTATACATAGTGATAAAATGTTGTATGTAATTCGGAGTTTTAATTACCTTCATCGTCAACGTCCAAGCCTGCAAACGACGGCATCGTGAAAGAACTCAAGTTTGCCGGGAACAGAATACTCAAGGACACTTTCAGCATCTTACTTTTATTCCTGATTTTTATCGAAAGACACAAGAAAATATAGATTTTTCGGTTCATAAGATAAGGTTGGAAATTCTCCACGTTATCTATAGTTTGAATAGGCTATTTAAATAGGCTTCAGATCTGTTACAATAATGCCCGAAGCTTGCTCAATCAACGATCGGAATTAGTGTGTAGATTGACTCTACCAAGCCATATATAATCACAGTCACAGAAACTTGTCTGACGCAGCCTAAAGATAGTAGATACTTGATTTTGAGGGTTTCACGTTGGTAAGAACCGATAGAATCCAGAAGCGTAAAGGAGAGGTAGTAGCACTATTCATTAGAAATACTATACGATTCGCTATTATTGATAGTGTATCCCATGAGGGTGAGACTTTTGAATCAGCTAGTTGCCGTTTAAAATCTAAGGGACAAGAGATGCTGATTGGTTTGATCTACCTCAGTCCAAGCTGTGAGATAAATGAGGTCTTGCTAAACAGTCTCAATACTTGATCTCAAAGTGGTCCATGTCTAATTCTAAGAAACTTTAATGCACTTATGGTAGGTTGGAAAGATCTGAGAACTGAATTGTCAGAAAGTTCCTTTGAGCAGGAACTATTTGATACATTTATCACATGTGCCCTAGTACAACATGTGAAAGAAGTGACAAGGTACGATCTGGACTCTAAACCATCCTTACTGGATCTCATATTGACCCATCATGAGGATGACCTCACGAACCTTGATTACATACCAGCCCTGGGTAAAAGTTACTATACAGTTCTAACTTTTGAATTCCATACAGTTGTAAAAAGCGAGCACGCATCAGCTTAACCCAGATCTAACGTCTGGGAAGCTAGTATACAACACATTATACATCCACCATCGTCAGTAGATTGGACAATGTAGCTACAGTCCCCAACTAAAACAGCTTGGGATATATTTCGAAACTTTTGCTTAGACGTTACTGCACCCTACATCCCTTGGACCACACCAAGAGGACCGAGAAACTTTCCACCATGGTTCGATAGGGAGGTTCTCACTCTTCTCCGTTAGAGGAAGAAATGTGGGATAGATTCAGGTTACTAGAGACTGATGAGACAAAAACTCAATATCGAGAAGCTCGGGATACCCGTGCCTCGACCCTAGGTAAGTCTAGTAGGTTGTACAAAAAGAAACTTGTTAAGGAATCAATAAAATGTCCTAAATGCTTGTATTCGTATATAAACCAGGGGACAAAAGTAAAAGGTGATATTCCAGCACTATGGAGAGACAGTAATCCTTCATCATTAGTAGAGGACGATCATCGTAAAGCGGTGTTTTCAAATTACGTAGTGATTACGTATTGAAATGCCCTCATTTTTTTGTCTTCCAAAACAGAGAGTTTTCGAAGACACCCCGAAAAGGTTCATAAGCCCAGAACAAATTACTTGTCAGCTGATTATCGAATTTCCCATCGAATCATCAACTAGTGGAATTCATTACCCCAGCACGCGGTTGAGGGTCCATCAGTCGACTCTTTCAAGTAAAAGTTGGATCAGCTGAGAGACCTTCATTGCCAGGACTAACACAGTCCACCAAGCCCCCTGTCCTTTCTAAACAGAAACTGAAAATTTCACTCTTGAAATGGTTTCTCGTTCCATTTCCAACCTCAGTGTGACGAACGAGGCAGATTAGTAAACACCTGATACCCGAACAGCTCATGAGCAAATCTTACATCACCGACGTGATGTTTTGTATCCCTATCAAGGCATCTGTCGAGTGTATTTTGCTTTGCATTTTCACTTTCTTCGTTCTGACTTTCTTACATATTATGTATTACTTCATAGATATATCACTTGCAACCCAATATCTTAGTGATGGGTTTGCAAGAACTAACTGATTCCCTAGAACTCTTCTTTTTGTTTCAGTACGGATTTAGATCCCTTGCACTGTCCAACAGGAGATGGTGTGGCCAGTCGGGTAGCTATTTTTGAGTTGTGAGTACGTTTGTTTTAGAGTATTAAGATTCCTGAATGCCAACAGATACAATGTTACCAACCACGAGATTGATTGGTTGCACTGTGAAAAACAATTAGGAGAAAATTCAAATAATGGAGGCGATTGTTACATGAACTAAATAAATAAGCACGTAGGTTACTCAATTAATAATGGTGTAACATTACCAAGACGGTAAGATAGAAACGACATTTGAGTTGAAATTAACGATTCGCTGGTTGGATCAATACCTTTAATTGAGCAGTTGCATTTAGTTAGAAGCTGACTGAGCTGAAAACACAAACGCATCTCATCGGGGGATTTAATGCAATGGGCATTCCAGCCGACTGACTCACTACACTTTAGGCGAGCCTGTATAAAGAAACATTTTCTAATCTTAATATGTGTAGAACAAAGAAAACGGATCCAAACGTAAAACTCAAAACTAATTCCCCAGTGAAAGACACTAGTGCCGTAAAACAAAAACTTTGTGAAACAATATTAGTGCTAAAAGAGAAACAATCAGCTAAATCACATGTCCAATCACCTGAAAACATCATCTAGGTGCGTCGTTCTCCGTATGGGGGCTAGAATGTCATCAACACTTAACGAATTTTGCAGGCAACCGACAGACTTGTGCTCTAGGCACTCTCATTTCTAGAGAAGTATTAAAGAAGCCGGAACTACCAGGTATTGAGACCCTATCGACAAAAGATAAACAGTATTTTTGGTGAAATGAGATCAGTATTCAGGTCTTCTAAGCATCCGGTTTGTCAAGAAAAGAGTTTCATCATGCTCAGCAAAATGAAGGAGAAAGGTTAGCTGCCTTCATTAAACGTCTTCAGTAATTGGCAGCATCAGCATTCCCATATTATTCAAGAACGAAACTCGGAGAGGTCATGTTTGATCATTTAATCGAGACATGAACTCAAAACGACTAGAAGAGAAATTTATGAAACAAGCCCTTGAAAACTCAAAAGCTGCTTGTGAGGAAGAAATTTGGGAAGAACAAGTATCCATGATATCAAATTTTGAAGAGGTAAACTGCTATTGAATTACAAAGGTTTTTGGGAGAACTGCCCACGTAAGAAATACCAAAGTATTAGGTTTTTGCTTAAAACGTAATAAATGTTCAGACCGTAAATTCGCCAACGGGCGTACGAGATGGTGCAAGAAGAAATCGAGGTCATGAACGTTATATGTTTCAAAAATTTCGGGTAGCTATCATAAACCTTTCTCCCAAACATTTTGTGGAGAGTTATTTAGTCGTCCAGTTACTATTTTGTTGGATTCTGGTGCAGCATGTTTTTTAATTGACAGTACTCTTGTTCCTAATGATGCGTACTGTATGATAGTTATAACTTACGTCTGAACGCGACCAACGGCACCCTGATGGTTTTTAGGGGTAAGACAACATTACGATGAACCCTCGACCAATCAGCTTTCATATGTGATACTTATTTCGCTCAGAACCTATCTTGGGACGTTATTTTAGGCACAGACTTATTAACTAAAGTTGGAGGATATCTGTAATATATATTTACGACTCGGAATTCAGCTTGGAAACTGGTTAGCTACAGTGGGACACTTCCAGGTTTGGAATAATGATTAATGCTGATCAAATGAAAATAAATGATGTGTCACCCTTACTTGAGAACTACCCTCTTCAACATCGGCACTGGAAACAGAGAACCGGACAGGACATGCATTATGGAAATCACTAGTTCGCACCACAAGGCAAATGCTAATTTGGAATCCTGGAGAGAAAAGGAAAGATGGAAGGCCAAAAGGCACACTGCACTGGGAATCGGAAGCAGATATGGAAAGGATGAACAGCATCTGAAAAACAACTAGAAAGGATTGCCCAACACACAGTTGGATGGAGTGTAAAGGTGTGCAGGTTATTCTCTTCCACAAATGGTAATCGGTGTAAGTAAGTCAGTTCATTGGGGTCATTCGTTAACCTTTTACCTCACCCGTACTACTGGCCTATGCTTGATTTTGATGTTGGTTTGTTCTCTGAGCTGGGTGGTGCAGAGGACAAGCTGTAAATCACATGTGGAGAAATTCAAACATTTCACTTCTACCCGAAGTTTGTGCTGATGATGTCGTTCAGAAGGACGATGAAAGCTCCACGACCAAACCACCCAGCTCAGAGAACAAACCAGCGTCTGTTACGTCTGCCGTTTGTGAACGTTATGTTTGCTTCCCTAAGCTAGTTTCGGATCCCCGAGCTAGAACTATACAGCAACTTGAAGACCATAGAGAAGACACGAGTATCAGAGAAGCACTTTACTACAAGGTTCATTTATGTACAGAAAAACAGGGGTTTTATAGTAATTAAAAGACCTTGAGTTTCCATAGTAGCAGTATGTTAAACAGCCAATCAGGACCTCGTTATTTTAGTAGCATAGCTTCTAAGTATTCGCTGATTCGTTGGGCTCTTTATGAGCCTCTGGAGGCTCTGATAGAGTTTACTGTAAGCCGACTTAACACCTCCCGTTTTTTGAAGATTCGAAAATTAGAGTCTGATTTTTTTTTAAAAATAATCTGTAATTTGAAAATTCTCCAACATTTTCCTCCCCCACGAAATAATGTTGGATCTTCATATCTCCAATTTACAATTAATATGATTTCATTTAAAACACATTTCTCGTATTGAATGCAGAATCCACTAGAAATGAATAGATGATGCTGAACGATATTTGATTTTAGGTCATCGGAATTTGACTTTTCTGGAACATCTCCATCAAATTCATTAAGATTTTCACTAAAGGATATTTGATAGCTAGGGGAATCATCATCTAATAAAATTGCCTTAGGTTTTTGATCAGCATTTGATTCAACCGACTTATTTTCCTCATCTTCATAAGAATTTTCATCAAAGTTATGTGCACCACTCCAGCTTTCTTGGCCGATATCATGTAACCCGTAGTTTAGTTCTGACTGAAGTTTGTCTTCAGATATCGGCGGATTCAATGG